CTTTATTCATATTTTATTTTTGAGTTGAAAGGTTTACGGCTTTGTGAAACTTCTTTTTTGAGTTTATGCCATTGATATAAATAAAAAAAATTAAAACATTTGTCAGTTTTGTTTACACATTTATTGGGCTGCCCCTGGTGTAAATCAAGTTTTAATTTTGGAACCCAGAGTATTTAACAATTAAATTTTTTTTATATATATAAAAAGGACTAAAAATAACCATATAACAGAAGTCTGCATTGGAATCATAAGTTCATAGGAAAAGCTTTTATAGAATTAAATTGGAAGAAGAGAGAGACTTGTTAAATCTTCATTTTCAGAATCTTGTTTGCATAGATCAATGCAACATATCATTTGCTATACGAATTGAGAAAGTTATAACACGATTTTAATCCCAATGCCATACTAAAGAAATAACAAGATCACCTCACAATTTTTGTTTTGTTTTAAAACTCTTGCTTGATTCCTTAACTTACCCCAATTCTGGATCCAGAGCCAACGACGTGGGATTTTCCAGTCCGGTGGAGACGACCGTGTGCCTGTAACGTCCGTCCAGGTGACCGACGAATATTCTTCCCTGAGGTTTGTTTCCGGAGAGATTGATATCCATCCAATACAAAGTTCTATTTAAAAAACTATCTTGTTCAAACTATAAATATATCTTAATGTATTTGTATATTATTATTACTATATATTGGCTTCTGCAATCTATGGGTTGCATGTTGTCATTGCTATATATTTTGAAAACTGCAGGAAAATGTAAAGCAGATTTCTCCAACTAAAACATCATATTTTACATTTAAAAATAAAATGACAAGTTTGGTCTCTGTCATTATTAAAATTTTAAGAAAATTCCATAATTTCAGTAAAGAATGCATTAAATTCATATCTTATCAAATTGTGTTTGGTTGATATATATTATTATCATCATATACAATGAGAAGATGAGCAAAACAATTTTCTAATACTAATCTGAAATATTACACATTTATGATATATGACAAAAAGATTTTTCGTACACTAATTAATATCAAAATAATTAAAAATGACATATTTACCTTCCCACCCAGTCCACGGCAATGGCCGTCGGTTTGGTAATTCCCTTCAGTTCCAGATTCTGGGCATAACCGGTTCCTTGGTGTTTCGTGTCGGGAAGGAAAGAACGTTTTATCGTTTTGTCAAACGAATCTGCCCAGTAGACGATATCTGCAACGGATATGTTAAATATTTTAATAAATTGAACCTGATGAAATAAGATAATTAAAAACTTTAAAAAAACCTACCTCTCACTGGATCAAAGTCAAATGCCTGAATCCTGGTCTGGTTGTTGATGACGGAAGACTGAATCTGCAGGCGGGGATCCAACGAACGAATTTCGGGACCGACGGCATACAATACGAGTAAGTTGGAATCTGACAGAAGGATGTAGTTAATAAAACTTTTTAAAATAAAGTCTATCCTTGCATCTCAAAGAATGAAAATGTAATCATACATGCTTCCATTCTTTGTTCAAATAAAAAGTATTTGATGATGACATAATAAATAAAATCTATTTTAATAAAGATCTGTAGTTGTTATTCTCACCTTAATTACATTAATTTAAAAATAACTATAACTATAACTAGTACCAAAGTACTGAATGCCTGTTATGAATATTAAACTCTGAAAATAAGTAAATAGTAATTCACCATCTGTGAATCAAATTTTAAGTTTTAGTCAAAGTTAATGTTTAATGGTAAGTGACTAAATAATGATTAACTTAGAATCCATAAAAAGTTTGTTATATATTTGACTTAATCCTAGGGCTGCAGTTTTGCATTCTCAAAATTGTTTATCTGTATTTATAACAAAAATTGCAATGCAGACTCAAAATATAGTTTGCATCTGCTAAATTTGTCAGTGGTAATTGCACATGCATAACTGTATTTTTTTTAAATCTGTTTTTGCTGTTCCATTTTTCAAAATAATTTCATAATCATTATTCTACACTTGCACTGGTTCGAATCTAACTGGTTTTTAAAACTGATAAAGACTGAAAGTACAGTCGAAAACGTTTGTTTACCATTAAATTGTTTACTACTGGACGTTTAAAGGTTTTGGAGTGTTAATTTATATGCTTTCCAGTATTCACGTAAGAAGATTTTAAGTTTAAGGTAATGTGAATCCAAACAGAATTCTTTATATGAATGTTTATATGTTTTATATGTCTCATTCTTTATAAATTTACAAAAGAGTTTTGTATTCAATTTAATTAGAAATCCTCTTTACAAATAATTTCTAACATTTAAACTCACTTCACGCATTGTTGTAAATTCATTATTGTTCTGTAGTAAAACTAATTTTTATTTGCTGCTAATGAGTAATAAAGCATACAGCTATAATTCTGGATTTTATTATTTGTACTTGTACATAACTACACTTATTACTCTTTCACAAAGTAGTTGAAAGGCAGAAGAGCAGTCTGTCCCAAAGATCAAGCTTGAAGTGGAAATCAATGTACTTCTACACTAATATTTAGTCACTTATTAACAACAAATAATGGATTTATTTAGTAACAACCGATCATCATCATTTGCAGATACCGACATTTTTTATACCTATCATTATCAATTTATGCTACTTTCATGTGTGCCAAAAAGCTATATTTTTTGTTGCTATTAGTTATTGAAAGTTTTTATATATTATGCAACGTGTGACTATTGACATTCATTTATCATTATTGAAAGTTGACAAAGGCTCAATATTCTGTAATAATCTGAGCTTGTAGACTGAGTAAAAAATTTGCAAATTCAAGCAAAATTGAATGTATCAGTACAAAAACGATCTTAACCGAAAAAGACTACTGAGATCGAACATATATGGTTGTAATTATTGATGAAGTAGATCTAACAAATTCTATATTACAGTAGAGTCCCGCTACTCTGAACTAATTGGGACCAAGCCTATTCAGATTAGCCGAATAACTGAAATAATACAGAAGCAAGCAGTAAAACCAGTCTGAAATATATAGATCCACACCATCAATGATGTCAGTGTCCTACCCTTTATTTCATCTGACTTGTACTCAATAGATCAAAAACAGTTAACAAAAACAAGTTTAGTAATTGTAATGACAACCTGCCTTCATTGTTTACCTTAAAATTATTTTAACTGTAAAAAACGTTGTTTTTAATACACAGTCCACAGGATTCCGATCACAGACTGATGCTACTGTGTGAGTTAGCACACTTAATTGTGAATGTTGAATGTAATCGTTGCTCTTCATTATTTTAGTTTGGTTTATAATGATCACAAAATTTTGAAAAGGCTGGACAAGGATGAAATTGGCATTAGAATTTGGAGTGGGCAAGGCCACAATAACTGACTGGAAAAAACTGCGCAAAGATCAAGCAGTTTTATGCCTTTACTTCAGAAAAATCAGTTGAAAATCTATAAACAGCAAGACCCTCAACATTTCACAAGTTTGATGAAGCCTTATTCACATGGTTCAATCATAAAAGAGAAAGGGAAACAGCCCTAAGTGGACCTCTTGTTAGAGAAAATTTTCTCTCCACCGACTGAAACATGTTCGGATTAGGTGGATGTTTGAATTAGCAGTGTTCGGATAGCAGGACTCTACTGTATAATCAAATTCTTCTATTTATATTTTTTGCACATGTTAAGTATAAACATGCCTATTCCAACAATATCAGTACAGTGTGAAAATGAGGTAATCTTTAACAATTTGACATATTGTATAATCCAATTTGATAACAATTATTTGTCATAATTAGTACTGATGAGCATCAGTATCAGTGTGAAAATAGCATTACACTCATTCTCTTATTCCGTTAATCTTTCAATTCAAATTATTTGAATAAGAATAAATAAATAGACCTACCTGCTGTGGCGGCACAGTGTTTTCCATATTGTTGGAAACTCTCGTGGCAAGAACATGTATATGAGTCTTTGGTGTTTGTACATATTTGCGAACAGTTATTTCCAAAATTGGCACATTCGTCTATATCTGAAAATTGCAAAATAAAAAAGTTATTATACATATATACACAAAAATCTTTTGTGTCTTAATATAACACCTACTTACCATCACATAATTTAGTATCCTTACTATTTACTTTGTATCCTTTATCACAGATACAAATATATCCGTTATCTTTTAGAGATGTGCAATTATGTTGACATCCACCTTTAGTAACAGTATCGCATTTTCCAACATCTAAAATAATTTAAGCTCTTTTAAATATATGTCCTCAAAGCAAATTAATTAAAATTTATAAAGCTTTACTTACTGCATCCCACTTCGTCCGAAAGATCTCCGCAGTCATCTTCGTGATCGCAGACTTTTGTCAGTTCAATACATTTTCCGTTAGTGCACTTAAATTGTCCTTTTTTGCAAGAGGGAGGAGGTCTGTAGCACATGGAATGGTCATTTTCGTCGCTTCCATCTCCACAGTCATTGCGACCATTGCAGGTTTGCCATTTTGGAATGCAGCGACGATTTTTCACTGGAATTTACGAGAAGTGTCGCAGGAGAAATTAGCTAAAATAAAATTATTAATACATTAAAACTATAAGAATAAAGTATTTACAATAATTATGAAAATAAACTTACAACAGACACTATCATGTTCATCAGAGTTGTCTCCATAGTCGTCATCTCCGTCACAAACAAAATCATGAAGTAAACAGATCTACAAAAAATTAATATCTTAGCAAGTTCTGCTTTAAATATATAAATTAAATATATTTACGTATATAAAAGCAAAAATTCTTACTGTGTTATTGCATTGAAACATATTTTCTTGGCAATATCGGCCATTTGGAAAACGTGTCGGACAATGGAGCTCGTCCGAAGTATCTTTACAATCCTTGTTCCCATCACATCTCAATTTTGCATTAATACAATGCCCACTTAAGCATTTAAATTGGTCTGGCTGTAAAAAGAATTATTTATAAATAAGTGTCTAAATTATTTAATGTCTAAATACTTTAAAGTTTTGATTGAATCAGACAGTCTCTTACTTTACAAGTAAAATCTTTGCAATTTTGTTCGTCGCTTCCATCTTCGCAGTCATCGTCGTGATCGCATCGCCACTTCATTGGTATACATTTCTTATTTTTACACTGAAACTCACTTTCAGAACAATCACGATAGAGATTGGCTAAAATAAATAAATTTATAAGTAATAAGTATACAAAATTATTCATACAAAGCTACATTAAAGGTTTTTAACATAAACATAATGCTAAATTTTATAGCTTTGCAGTGCATTGACAAATATAATGGTTTTATCATCTTGTTTTTAATTAAATATTTATGGAAGAAAATTTCTTATTAGTAGTAGTTAGTAGTAATAATTGATTGAATGTTGTTATAATAAGCAAAATTACGTAAATAGATATTATGGCTTTACAACATACGTAATATAATAATTCCATTGCTAATATACTGATTTATTTAAAATTTTGAATTAAATTTAATAATTTGGAATATATTGTAATTAAAAAGTGACCCAAAGCAAGAATTGAACCTACAACTTCTCTTGCTATAAAGATGAATTACCAACTACACTAAATGAATCTCCGACAGATCTTCCTTCCAGACCAATTAAATTAAAAGATATAAGCATACAGGCCACCCACCAAAATAATATGGCCAAAATGCATTTAAAATATAAGTACAGTAGAATCCAATTATCTTGGATAATTGGGATTCTACTGTACCAACAGAATCTCAGATAATATGGAATGTTTAGTAAATTATTAAATAAACTGAATTTTGACACATTACCATATATGACTAATCTTAAAATAGAATAAGTTTATAACTCACTAACTGAATGTAAATATGTTAATTTAAATTTTATTTATCAAAACAAATGTAAACCTACAAATGCAATTGAAGTTTCTTTATGTTAATTTAAATTTTATTTATCAAAACAAATGTAAACCTACAAATGCAATTGAAGTTTCTTTAATCATTTTATAAAATTCATATTTGAGAAATCACCAGAATGAATTTTTTTAAAACTTCTAGAACTTTTTTCAAGCTACATTCTCTTGTTATTTTTGACTCTTACACACAAGCTATCTTGGATAACTCAGAGCATCAGTTGAGTGAATCTTGATGGAAAATCTACTGTATATTATTAGCTCCTTTTGGTAAAAACTGAGCTTCCATTTGTGACTAACCGACTCTTTAAACATAAAATGATGAATCTGTGTATTTTATAATTTATTCCTTGGTATAAGGATGATGATGAATGAACTGAACTGAATTACATTAATCTTTAGATATATTTTAAATTCCTTATGCTTTCTGATGACAATGATAAAAATACAACATGCTTCATGTACTTCAAAAATTCAAATATAAATTTTTAANAAATAGAATAAGTTTATAACTCACTAACTGAATGTAAAAATGTTAATTTAAATACAATAAAATACTTTTAAAGTATTTAAAATAAAATTTAAATTAAATACAATAAAATACTTTAAAAGTATTTTATTTAATTAATTTATATTATTTAATTTGTATTTCCTTTAAATTTTATTTATCAAAACAAATGTAAACCTACAAATGCAATTGAAGTTTCTTTAATCATTTTATAAAATTTATATTTGAGAAATCATCAGAATGAATTTTTTTTAAAACTTCTAGAACTTTTTTTCAAATACGATGCTACATTCTCTTGTTATTTTTTACTCTTACACACGAGCTATCTTGGATAACTCAGAACATCAGTTGAGTGAATCTTGATGGAAAATCTACTGTATATTATTAGCTCCTTTTGGTAAAAACTGAGCTTCCATTTGTAATGACTAACTGACTCTTTAAACATAAAATGATGAATCTGTGTATTTTATAATTTATTCCTTGGTATAAGAATGATGAATGATGAATGAACTGAACTGAACTACATTAATCTTTAGATATATTTTAAATTCCTTATGCTTTCTGATGACAATGATAAAAATACAACATGCTTCATGTACTTCAAAAATTCAAATATAAATTCTTAAATCAAAGCTTAATAATTAAATTTTTTATTTTTTTCTTCTCTATGAGCAGAACAAGTGGCTTTTAACATGTCTATCAAGGATTTGATAAGGTCTTAAATAGAGAAGCTGCATAATGAGATAGACCACAATACTTATAAAAAAATCCTGAAGTTCTGCTTTACTCATTTGGTTCCCTAAATACAAAATTATTATCTCATCAGCACAATTATGATAATGTATTTCTTTAGTTATTTAAATTATCTATTACATAATTAAACTATATTTACTCTACATTAATAATCAAACTCAAATCATCAAATAAAATATTCATTATTCTCAATTTAGTAAAATCATTATTTACTGAAAATATACATACTGCAACTTTCTTTTTCTTCATCAGAGTTATCCCCACAGTCATCTTCAAAATCACACCGCCACCTTAAAGGAATGCAGCGGTTATTTTTACAGCGGAAATCTCCAGATTCGTGGCATTTTGGACAGTGCTCTGGAGTCGTTTCGTCTGAGTTATCACGACAATCGTCTTTGCCGTCACAGAATAACCAAGAGGGTATGCATCGATAGTTACCAACTGTCGGACATTTCTTCCATCCTGTAGTACAGTTTCTGTTTCCTGTTAGAAATTTAAGTAAACGTTAAATATACAAAGTTGAACATATAATTTAAATACCTTTATACAAAACACTGTTTTATGTATTGAAAAATAATAAAAATGCAGAATAACTTACTACATCTGTGTGCAGGTTCATCTGAATTATCACCACAGTCATCATCAAAATCACAGAACCAAAGTTTTGGGATACATTTACCATTTTGGCACTTGAATTGTGTTTCTGGATCACATTTTTGTTTATCTTGAAAAAATCAACATAAATTAAATGTAATTTTATCATCATCATGTAATCAAAGAATTATTTAGAATACTTACGGCACAATTCTGGATCCTCGTCGGATCCATCAGCACAATCATTATCACCATCGCAATGCCATGTATTCGGTACACATCTTCCAGAACGTTTGCATTTAAAGCTATTTTCACCACAATGTAATTCTGATAATACAAAAGTATACATTTTAGGACACTAATTTAAATTGCCTTCATTTTATTTCTCTCTTATGATAAAATTAGATTTTAAAGTATCAACAAATCATTTCATGTAACAATTGTATATATTTACTTAATATTTACATAAATTAATCAATGCTCTGTGAACAATTTATTGCATTATTTAATAGTGAATATATTGTCTGGCAAAAGTGCTTAAAGTGGCTTTGTTAAAAGTTAGTTCAGAAACTTGTGTTTAAGTTAACAGCTATAACACTGATGCAGGAAACTTGGAAGCACTAAACACAAAATTTAAGAAGGCTGCCATGAATAGTAAAATTAAAGTATTTGTAAAATGTATTAGACAGAGAAACATAGATGTTAACAATAATTTCATAGTTATTTGATACATTAAAAAGTTTCCTAGTAATAAAACAAGCTTGGAAAATATTATATAATTAGTTACCGCAATATTTTTCATCAGAATTGTCTTGGCAGTCATTCTTTCCATCACAGACTCGGACACGAGAAATGCAAGTTTTGTTGTCGGCACATTGGAACTGTCCCACTTTGCAAGTAAATGGTGCTAAATAAAAAACAAAAGTTTCCATACAAATTCTATTTAATTTTTTCAAAAATAATAATATGTATAAAAATTAATTACGGCAATCCATTTCATCTGAACCATCTTGACAATCCTTATTTCCATCACATTTCCAAAACATAGGTATGCACCGGTCGTCATCGCCACTGCAACGATGCTGACGTTTAGTGCAATTGGCTATACAAGTGCGATTATCCGAAAGAAGAACAAAATTGTTTGGACAACTGCAACTATAGGTTTTTCCACCAGGTGAAATTAGACATAAATGACTACAACCTCCATTATTATTCTTGCATGGGTTATCATCTAGAAGAAATGAAAATAATTAATTAGAAACTGTATATATTTCATTAATTTTCCAATGTTATTAATGCAACTTTAAGTACTTAGTTACACATTACTAGATTCAATAGTGGTAACATAGTTATAATGTATTAGTTTGTGTTAATCAGATATTACGTAGTTATTCATATAATTCATTTCAGTTATTGTTATAAAATATCATATAATATACTATATTAAAACTCCAGAATCAAATAATCCGTACCCATTTTTCATCTTCTAAAACATGCTGTTGTATTGGAAATTGTATAAGGAAATTGTTTATTGTACATTATATAAGAATTATGAATGTCTGAAATTCCAGTTTATCAGTCTGGTATTATTTTCAACTTAAGTATATTATGTACAGTACAGTACAACTGTGTTCATTATTATTTTTTATTTAAGAAGAATTAAATATATATTCTATTCAACATATAAAAACAATATGGTTTGATTTATATTATTAATGCCAAGTTATTTATAAAATACAGAAAAATGTTACTCTGCTTTATTATTAATGAACATTAAGTTTTAGTTACGTTTATCTGTATTACTACTCACATGGTAACTGTCTAAGATGATGATAAATATGGATATCATAAGGACTATGGGAAGTATTTCGCAAAACCTCTAGATTATTTCCTTTATATTTATGAGCTCTAAAAATTCTTTTCAGATTCCAATCTGTCCAATATATCCAATCATCAAAGAGTGTCATTGCAAAAACGTGTGGAACAGATGTACCGGATAAGATGATGTGTCTGTTTTTACCATCAAAATCTGCATATCTGTTGATAAAAATTACATTGTTACACAGGATTAAAAAAAAGNTACTTCAGCTCTCTTATCGTATCGCAGAAACTTGTACAATGCGTATAAGCACGTTTAATCCATGATCTGAAAACAGCTAATTTGATATGCTTGGAAATCTATAAAGCGCACATAAAAACTGGTTGTATAAACCATAGAGACGCCGACTCATTGTCTACTGTGTGGAGGTCCTTTTACAATTATTAATTTTCACTATTTATTTGATTTATTTGTTAATTTTTCATTAACACTTCTGCTAGGGCGCTTTCCGTTAATTTTTATTTTTTGTATTTATTTCGAACGCATTTTATGTTCTATATTTAATATTCTATTTTTGGTAACTGAAGATGATCGTTGAAAAATGATTGAAAACGTTTTTATTTTATTAAATTTTGCTGGATTTATATTGGTGTAGTTTATTTTACGACTTATTCTACTTCCAGTACGTATTTGTTATATTGAACATTTTGGTTAAACGGTTAAAATCAGCACTAAGTAGGTTATCTCTTTTACTGCATGACAGAGGGCATCTTGTCATATTTTTTTCTTTTTATTATAACAAAAATTTCTAAATATTAATTGCACAGATAAACAAAACAGCTGAAAAAAATGTATGTAAAAATTTGGTAAATTTTTTTGTTGTGTTGAAGTAATGTAATTCAACTGTCACACATTTGATCATTGTATATTCAAGATATGTAACAGTGCTTACTTATCTATTTTGAAAGTCAAATTCTATGCAGCTGAGTAAGTTTGTCATATCTACTACATATTATTTTCAAATATTAAGCTGTCAGATGACACAACCAACAGAGTGAGTGCTTAATTTCTATATTAATATGACTAATTTTGCATTAATTTACAAATATGCCACACAAATCATAATTTAGATTCAAAATAATGTTAAAGATTCAAAAACAAACAACATTATTAGGATAAAATCATTAGTAGTTCACATAACAATTTCGGAAATTTTCAATTTCTACTCTTTTATATGAAGAGGTTGATTGATAATTTGATTCGATTATAAAAATAATGGTTATACAAGGTTCCACAGACCACCTATATACCCTTTTAAAATGAAGGAAAGTGAATTTTCATCAAAACTCCTAAAAATTTTAACAATTAAATCAAATACACTTTATCAAATGGTAATATTTTCAATTTTTTAAATAAAACATATTTTTTAATCCAGATTAAACTCAAAATTACAATTTTGTCTCAAACATTTTTTCTAAAAATGCCTCCCCTTTGACTATAAAATGAAAGTGTACTGAACTCTTCTTGACAAAACCTCATTACAAGCTGTACCATGCTATTTTTCAGCTTGCTGAATATTCAGTACGTAAACATTATGCTTGTGTTTCCATTTTCATTTTCAGTTATACCTATCAGTTATATAGTAATCAAAGATATCTATCATAGTGATCTATTTAGTGATGTCCAATTTGAATAAAGAAGCATAAGATACACTGATAATTTTGGATGGGTGTCAAAGTACATTTGCTACAGCTGAAAGTTTATGGTATGAGCATTATTCTGATTGGATTCCTCACTCATGAAATGTTTTTTTTTCACATTTGGCTAATTGAATCAGAAATGATAATGACACATGCAAATAATCCATCATCTGATTATGGATGAAATAGCACCAGAGTACTCAGAGTTTGAACATTTTGTAAAATAAACTACACCAATATAAATCCAGCAAAATTTAATAAAATAAAAACGTTTTCAATCGTTTTTCAACGATCATCTTCAGTTACCAAAAATAGAATATTAAATATAGAACATAAAATGCATTCGAAATAAATACAAAAAATAAAAATTAACGGAACGGATTTATTTGTTAATGAAAAATTAACAAATAAATCAAATAAATAGTGAAAATTAATAATTGTAAAAGGACCTCCATGCAGTAAACAATAAGTTGGCATCTCTATGGTTTATACAACCGGTTTTCATCTGCGCTTTATAGATTTCCAATCTCTCTAGATGTTTGATCGTTTACCTATTAGTCATCGTTTTTATAATTGCCGCTTGATCCCATTGCACATCAATATCTTGTTGGTTTGCGTATGACGCCAACACAGTGCTATCAAGGTTCCTATTGACTGTATATTTGTGTTCCTTGAGCCTTTGCTTTAGACCATGCATCGTTGCACCCACGTAAACTAACCTGGAATCAAAGCGCTGGTCATGTAAAGGAACCAAATATATACCCTTTGTTGAATTCCGATCCTCTTTCTTTTTATCGTTTCTTAAAAGTTTGAAAATAGTGGGATTGTGCCGGTATACAATGTGAAAGTTATTAGACTTGGCCGTAGATTTGTGTATCTTGTTCAAAAATGGGATGTAATTAAGCACTAATTGTTTATTACGGTCAACCCTGGGAGAATGCCGTGAAGTAGATTGGACAGATGAAATAAGATGCTCTATCACTTTTTTTGGATATCTGTGTAGTTGGGCTATCTTAAGAATGTACTTCAGCTCTCTTATCGTATCGCAGAAACTTGTACAATGCGTATAAGCACGTTTAATCCATGATCTGAAAACAGCTAATTTGATATGCTTGGAAATCTATAAAGCGCACATAAAAACTGGTTGTATAAACCATAGAGACGCCGACTCATTGTCTACTGTGTGGAGGTCCTTTTACAATTATTAATTTTCACTATTTATTTGATTTATTTGTTAATTTTTCATTAACACTTCTGCTAGGGCGCTTTCCGTTAATTTTTATTTTTTGTATTTATTTCGAACGCATTTTATGTTCTATATTTAATATTCTATTTTTGGTAACTGAAGATGATCGTTGAAAAATGATTGAAAACGTTTTTATTTTATTAAATTTTGCTGGATTTATATTGGTGTAGTTTATTTTACGACTTATTCTACTTCCAGTACGTATTTGTTATATTGAACATTTTGGTTAAACGGTTAAAATCAGCACTAAGTAGGTTATCTCTTTTACTGCATGACAGAGGGCATCTTGTCATATTTTTTTCTTTTTATTATAACAAAAATTTCTAAATATTAATTGCACAGATAACATCTAATACTTAATTTTTTTAGACATATAACCAATTATATTTTACTTCAGAATTATTCATATTTTTTTAATTAATGTAATCCACAGACAGAATTATTTTAAAATATATTTCTACTTACCCAATACCAGGATGTATGGCAATAGCTCTTGGATCAGAAATGCCTTTATTAATCAGAACTCTTCTATTTCTACCATTTAGTTCAGCTACATGCAAATGTTTACTACTGCGATCCAACCAATACAATTTTCTGGAATAAAAATCAATCACCACAATATGTAATTGTATTCATTTATACAATATGAACTGGATAATAGTCAAAGATGCAATAAAAAAGATTTTTGATAATTATTACATTTAATAAAATTATATTTACCCATTATTTATTTAAATATAAAATAAACAATAAATTTTTTACTCATAATATATATTTACCTTCCTATCCAATCAACCGCCATTCCTTCTAGACCATTTGCATCCTGCCAAATAACACTTTCTTCACCAGTTCCATTAATAAATATTCTACTGATTGTTTTATTGCTAACATCACAGTAATAAAGTCTATCTTCACTAATGTCAAAATCCATTGCAACAACATTTCTGAGTTCCATTTTAATTAAGTTATAATGTACACCACTAATACTCATGTTTCGAAGATAATAACGATTACTAAAAATAAGCCATGGTTCTTCATCTGAAATTTTTTAAACATTAAACATAATTTAGTTTATTAGATATTAATTAGATTTTGTTATAAATAGACAAATAGATAACTTACTGTCTCTTCTTTTGCAAGAGTGGCCGTCAAGCTGTCGTTCGTAATATGTTTCGTTACATTTACAATAATAGGAACCAGGAGTATTAAAACAATATTGTGAACAGACACTAGGTCCAGTTATACATTCATTAATATCTCTACAAGCTTTACCATCACTCATTAATTTATAACCAGCATTACATTCACAATAAAATCCAGTCAATGTATTTACACATTTATGTTCGCACTGATTACTTTCTACCTTCTCACATTCATCGACATTACAATGAGCAGGTTCATCAGATCCATCAGTACAGTCTCTTTGTTTGTTGCATACACGTTCATAGGGAATACATTGGCCATTTTTACATTTAAATTGTGCACCAGAACATGTTGCTTCTTCAGTCACACAGTCTGTTGCTAATTCATCGCTATTATCACCACAATCATCATCTCCATCACAATGATAAATCTTGCGGATACATTTTGTGTTACGGCAAGTAAATTCTTCAGCTGTGCAAGCACGGAATGCTGGAGAGAATCAAAGAAAAATAATAAGTACAACGAAAATCAAGTTACAATGAAATAAAATAACAATTATTTGAATTAGACTTTTAAAACAGGAATTTGAAATAATTTTAATTTGAATAATATATTACAAACTCAAATATATTAATATGTTAATTTTTTAAATATTTCTACTGATTATTCAATACAATACTAATCAAAATTTAATTTTATCATTTAAAAGTTTATCATTGAATGCAATATTTCCCTCTTTAGTGGAATTCTTTCAAAGAAGCCAAACAAAGCACAAACACTTTTTTGATATTCTTACACAATATTTCAACATTCCAACCATTATTTTCTGTTTCCATGATAAAATCATTTTTTCTTCCTACTGCAACTTTCCAGCTGCAGTAAGAGGTAAAAATGATTTTATCATGGAAACAGAAAAAACAAAATGGAAATAGAAAAAACTTAAAAAATTACTTACTGCAATTTTTTGGTTCATCAGAACCATCACCACAATCATTATCATGGTCACAAACCCATTCTTTGCCAATGCATCTCTTATTATCACATTGAAATTGGTTCTCTTGGCAAGGTTCAGGAGGCGGACAGTTATTCATGGTACTGTTTTCATCAGATCCATCTACACAATCAGGATCGCCATCACACACCCATCGTTTAGGTATACAAACTGCTCTTCCCCATTGTCTATTTACTTTACAAGTGAATTCTTTTTCTGGATCACATTCTCTGTTTTCTACAGAAATATAACATTTTTTTTCATATTTTAGTTAATATATTTTAAATACATTAATTATAAAAAATAAAAATGATAAATATTTTTCTGAGAATTATTTTATGCACATTTAACAAATTTTAGAATTAACTTTGAACATCTTACAATATAAATAGCAGTTATTAATATTGAAATTTTGAAAGAATAATTCAATCTAAATTTTTAAATTTATGTTTTATTTAAAAAAGAAAACTACATTTAAAAAAGTAAGTGTTTTTTATGAAGTAATAAATCTTTTAACATTTTTTTTTAATTTTAATTCTTAAATAATAATTATTTTTAATATAATTTTATTATGCATTTTAGAAAATAATTTCATAATTTCTCATTTTTTAAAAATCAAATAATCCTACTTCTATTAATTTATAATTTAAAATGTACATTTGATTCATAAATTCATTTTTATATCAGTTTTTGATTTTTTTAAATTTTCTATATTGATTGGATGTTTTACCAAAATTTGAAATTTAAATGATTCCAATTCTTCTTACTGAAGGGATTTCAATTCTTCTTACTGAAGGAATTCCAATTAGTCATAAATGTGTTGTTCAATCATTTTTTATAATATAATGCTAAGACATTCTTGAATGAGTGAATTTATTAAATCAATTGCCATAAATTAAGTTGGTTTAATCATCTTATTGGTTAATTTTAATAATAAGTTGTCATTTAGTTTTGGCTAAGATTTATTATAATTATAGACTTTAGAAGAAACAATAATCATAACAGATTTTATTATTGTAAAACTGATCTTTTTCATGTTTTTCTTTGACAAAATAGAATTTATGCATGCAGTTACAATTCAAATGTTATTCAAAATTTTTTTCAGTACAATATTTGGCATATGCATTATCATTACTAAATGTAATTTAATGCAAAAAAATTAAAAATAGCTAAAGAACTAATTTATTTTGATTTACAGTTTATATGTTGAAAATTTTTTATGCTAATTTTCTTTCTCCATTCTACATACTTATACTTCTAAAAATTTTAACATGACTTTCAAAAATGTGCCCAAAATACAAAGATTCTAGTCTAAACTTCATAACTTACCACACTGATGACGATCATCTTCATCAGAATTATCAAGGCAATCATTATCTCCATCACAAAGATATATTCGTGGAACACAATTACCATTATCACAAGTAAAGAGGTCACCAAAACATGTCCTTTTCTCACTCTTACAGTAATCTTTTGGTTCATCAGCACCATCATCACAATCTTTATCACCGTCACAATGCCATGTTGCCGGTATGCATCGATTATTAGGACATCTATAATAACGTAAATACATAACTTCAATAATATTTTTACCATTAAAATAATTCAAACTGAAAATAGTAATAACCTAAAACTGTTTGGTGGACAAGATCTATCTGAGCAAACAATTGAATTTTCATCAGAGTTATCTCCACAATCATTATCTCCATCACAAAGCCAATATTGTTCTACACATATGTTTGTTGAATTGCATTTTATGTGATTTGCAGGGCAAGTTCTATTATTAGGACATCTTTCGGCACTTTCATCAGAAGTTTTATTATCTTTACAATCGTGTACACCATTACATAATTGTGCATTGGGTATGCAACGATAATTGGCACAAGTAAATTCTCCCTCTTTGCAAGGTGGATATTCTGTAAAGAATTAATGAGCATCAAATTAATGTGTAAAATATTACATAAAACACACAAATAATTATAAGTAAATTTTTATTCTATGCCAGTTTAAGTTGATACTGTTTTATATTTTATCTAATAAAAAAAATTTATAACACTAAAGAATCTTACTACAGTCCTCTTCATCAGTATTATCACCACAGTCATTTTCATGATCACATTGCCATGTTTTAAAGATGCATTTTCCATTACCACAGCGGAATTCTGATGGGCTACATGTATGTAAGGCTAAAATAGTTATAGAAATATTTGTATAAATCATTTATTCATTTGTATTATAAATAAAATGTATCCATTAACTATTTTAAATGTTTCTTAAATAAATAATATGAATTTCAAAATTTAAAATTATTATTCATGAATTTAAACCTGATAATATCATTACGAAATAAAAATATTTTAAGTAAAAAACAACACAAACCACAAAATTGTTTATCTTCATCTGTATTGTCACCACAGTCATCATCTCCATCACAAGCCCATAATCTAGGAATACATTTACCATTTGCACAAGCAAATTTTTGTTCGGAACATGTCACATTGTCAGCTAAAAATAAAAAAATTTATACAATAAAGTATTCTGTAAACGAATAATGTGTTACTGTTTTTTTTATAAACTAATTAGTAAAGACAATTTAAACCTGAATATTTATTAAAATTTCTGTCCTATTTTAAATTCATTCTAGTTTTATGAAGTGTTTAAATATATAAATAACATTATAAAATTATTTATAATACAAAAAAATAAAACTTACGAACACACATGCGCCCTTCATTGGCAACTTTGAAGGTATTATTACACAGACATTCAACTGTTCCATTTTCAGCTTGATGACAGGAATGTGCACAGCCACCATTATTTAAACTGCAGACAGATGAATTACCTAAAATTTTAATAACAAAGTACTTTATAATCAAATTAAAACAAATTTGCCTTAATGTATATTTATTAACTGCATTAAATATTTATAAAAATATTTATTTTGCTTAAAGAAAAAAATTGTTTTAAGTTTATTGAAAACTTGAAAATTCCTCAGCAATATTTATATAATTATGTATTTTAATTTAATGAATATTAAAAAAATATCACAATGTAACCATATACTTACATTTTTGTCTATCTGGTGCATAAACATGTATGTCTCGTGGTGATTCTTCAAGCCGTTTAACCATTTCTATCATTCCTGCACCTGTGTGTTTTTCAGCACGATATACACCTCCTAAAAATCATAAATAATTTTTCAAATAAAATAAAATAAATATATAAAATAAATAAAATAAATATATTAATTAAACATTAAACCATAATTAAATTTTCATTATTGTCCAATGAAAATAATGTAATTCACTGTTTTTCTAATCTAAAATATAGTCATTATTACATCACTTTTTTTCATTTAAAATTTACAATATATATAAGAAACACTCAAAAACACTTCCACTCACTTTTAAAAGCCATATAAACAAGACAGTAAAATCAATGGCCATCTGTTGTGGGATATTATGGCATTTTTGTAAAATCATATCCTCTAAATCTGTTCTCTATGGTCCATATTTTTTGCTAATTTTCAGTCTCTTGTGGACTATTGCCTTCCCATTTGGTCCATGGGTGCCCCCTCTTTATTTGCTAATATATTGAGAGCAACTCGATAAACTTTACCTACTTTTAAATAAGTTTAATAATCTACTACAAACTAATAACACAAATGTCACTAGAGTAAGACTACAATTTTCAGTTTTGTTTGAAAGAGTAAATATTTCAATTGAATTCTCTTTTTAAAATACTTTAACAGTCTAATTCCACAATTTTGCCTAAATCTAATGATCCCCAGAAGAAACATCCATAATACTATGTGCATATACAGTATACTCCTCATTTTCATTTGTCATTGTCACATAGATCTTATTTTTATTGAATAGCTGATAACATGGGCCCAATGGAATGTCTACTACATGAAAAATTTGCTTATTATAAGCAGGTTTTTCGACATTTATTACATAACTCTTAAATCTTTTTTTTTTTACTTTCCACTTCTTAATTATTATTATTCTTTTTAATATTTTCTCTTTTATTCCCATACTTTTGCTTGTCACAATTACACCTTTTATTTATCATACTTCAAAATATATATTTTTTTAATATATAATTTTTATATTTTTTTAATGAATGTATATTATCTGTATGCTTTTTTTATTTATATTTCTCTTATATATATATTTATGTATTGTGTTACTGCTTTGTTTGTGTTTTTCTGTTATATTTTGTAATTTTTATTCTTCTTTTGGGCTTGTTATGTACTGGGGATGGAAATCAATGGCATAATGGCACTTCCAAAATTTGATGTAAAATAAATAAATAAATGAATAAATTTTTAAAATCTGATATAAGTTAAATAATGTAATAAAAATAAAATATAAGTTTTTATGATCTTAACAGCAATTCTGTTGTCAGAAAAATAAATGAATCTGAAACTGATACTAGCTGTTTTCTATTTCTGTCACAATTAAGCTGACATTAAAAATATTGTGTTATCATCTTTCATGATTTTAACCTATGATCACAAATAATAGTGATGATTTTCGGCACCTACTAGTTTTTTGTATACATTTTTCAGTAATTTAACATACTTAGCTGTGTCCTCATGCTCTATGCTATCCATCTAACTGCTTAAAAACTTCAGGCAAAAAAAAACTTTTCCACTTATTACAGGCCATCAAAAAACTACTGCAGAAAATAATCAACTTGTGCATGCAATACAATTTTTCTTTATTGTCACACATTCACATGTGGAAATTTTCGGTACGTTTCTGTTAACAGGACACCAGTTGTAACTTTAATCTGATGCACAATACCATTGTTTGTGTTGCAACATTACACATGAAAAATCAGCAGAAAATTGCTGTCTTATGCATGTGATTGTGTGTAATAAATATATGTGATCCCTGGTTAAAGTAATATTACAACAGAGTTCATTTAAAAACTGAAAATCTTTCAATAAATTCCTTCAAATTTCATATGAGTTTGCTTTGTAAAGCAAAACTTCATTATATATCAAAAATTTCTTAAACTTATAAAAAAAAAAATATATGTCTATTTTTTAATTTGAAGATGTAATAATGAAACTATTCTTTTCAAATTTTTAAGTTTTTGATTAAAATTTTCAAAAATTTTCTGAAAGCATTTCATTTAATATATATTTTGAGAATAAATTTACAATAATAAAATTTTTTAACTTACGAAGCTGTAAATCTGTCCAATATATATAATTCCTGTGCACAGTAATAGCAAATGGATATATAGTTGCAGGTACTAATACTTCACGATTTTTACCATCAAGATCGGATCTTTCAATTTTTTCTCTAAAAAATTTATACTACCTTAGAATTTATGGAAAAATAAGTTTCTGAAATATCTTTGACTGCAATAATGTATATTAATTGTAATTTAATTTATTAAATATATAATTTTTATAATTAGTAAGATTTTAACCAATCTTAAAATCATATAAACACTTTTTTTTACACTATATTGCATTAAAACTTTAGAATAAACGTCTCAATACAAACCTCAATGCATCAGTCCAGTATAATTTTCTCTCTTCATAATCAATAGCTAATCCACTTGGTTGAGTTAAATTATCACCAATGATTTCAGTTTTTTTATTGCCTGCCATAGTTGAACGATAGATTTTTCCTTTGTTTCCAAATCGTCCCCAATCAGTAAAATACATAAAACTAAAAAGAATTTTTTTTAATTTAATAGTCATTTTCATATTGAAAAATCAATACCAATATTAAATATTTATTGTATTATAAAAATTAATTTATTATGCATTAAGTAAATGTTAAATTTCATAAATTTTAAATTTGTTATACAATAACTCAGAAAAATTACTGTAAATACAGAAATCATTCCAAGTTTTATTTAAGAATTCCAATAATTTTCTCTTTCCAAAACAATTTTTTAATGACAGTTTCATTTTCAACCCATTTTAAACTTTTCATTTCTTCAAAAAATATAAATTCTCTTAAAAAGTAATAAAAATATTTAAGAGATGTACTGATAATGAAGTAATGCTAATTTTAAAATGTTTAAGAATAAAGATCTGAAACTTTACTTATAAATAGTTTATATTATATTATAAAATTAATATTGTTTTAATATATTTGTCATGTTTCAAAACATGAAAAATACATTTTAATAGTACAAAATTATTTTGAAGTACAACTACATATTTACATAAGACGAAAATTTTCTCACCCTTCACAAGGATCTAGAACAATTGCTCTTGGTCTTTCAACACGAGTAATCATAACAAGTTGAGATCCATCCAAATTCATTGCATAAATACTTCTGTTACCAGAATCAGTCCAATAAACTTTTTTAGTAGTCCAATCAAATGCAATTCCCTCTGGATTAATACCCTTGTCTTGTATGACTTTCATTTCACTGAGATTATCTAAATTCATCCAGGATATACTGCCATCGGGACGTATTTCTAGTGGCAACAATAAATATATTTCAAATTGTTTAATAACGTAATTTAATAATTATTTTACATTTTATATATAAAGAATATTTTATACTACATTTTAAATTATTCTTTATGTAAATTTTATTCCTAATTACATTCTACATTTAAATTTGCTACAACAAATACAAATTTAATTTAACAGAACAATAAATTAAAAAAACAATTATTAGTAATTTTTTTACAATTATTAGATGATTACAATTACAATTATTACAAATATTAGCAATTATTAGTATTTTGATTACTTCAATCTGAGAAAATTTTTCAATATAAAGTTTTATTAAAATTTTAATTTCAATAAAACTATATATTGAAAAATTTGAAATTTTTCAATATATAGTTTTCCTTGCAATAAAAAGTTTTATTGCAAAAAAATAACAATAATTTTACATACGAGTAAAGAGTAAATGTCTATCTGTGTAATCAAAATCCAATCCAACAACATTTGTAAGATTTCCTCTTGGTGGAAATGGGAAGCTTGTAATATCGGGATTTAAGTGAATACTTCTAATTTCTCTTCGAGTTGTAAATATTATATATTCTTTTGTTTCTGTTCAAAAATAAAGTAAAAAATTTACTTTAAAATGTATATAATTTTATATCTTTAATGTATATTGTTTAATTAAAAAACATACAACAGTAGATACCATTCTACAATTTAATTATATTATTATTTGAAATAAAATGAGTTTTAATTAAATTAACAAAAAAACCAAACAGTTATTAACATTGAGTTAGCTTTTTTATCATTATTATTTTACTAAAATATTTTTGCACAATAAAAAGAAACCAAAATAGAGAGTATAATGAAAAACAAATATATCACCTTCACATGTTCTCTTATCAGAAGACAAAATACCAGAAGCACAAGAGCATTTATAGTTTTCTGTACTGGATGAAGGCATTGCAAAACAAAGTTGTTCACATTTTCCATTTTCAGGACGTGAACATGGAGTTTCACCTACAGTCAACGGAAAAATAAAATATTTTAAATAAATAAATTATATAATAAAAATATAAAACAATTTAAAGATTTTTGTTTCATTTTGTTTTTAACTTTAACATATATTTTNCATTTAACAAATTTTAGAATTAACTTTGAACATCTTACAATATAAATAGCAGTTATTAATATTGAAATTTTGAAAGAATAATTCAATCTAAATTTTTAAATTTATGTTTTATTTAAAAAAGAAAACTACATTTAAAAAAGTAAGTGTTTTTTATGAAGTAATAAATCTTTTAACATTTTTTTTTAATTTTAATTCTTAAATAATAATTATTTTTAATATAATTTTATTATGCATTTTAGAAAATAATTTCATAATTTCTCATTTTTTAAAAATCAAATAATCCTACTTCTATTAATTTATAATTTAAAATGTACATTTGATTCATAAATTCATTTTTATATCAGTTTTTGATTTTTTTAAATTTTCTATATTGATTGGATGTTTTACCAAAATTTGAAATTTAAATGATTCCAATTCTTCTTACTGAAGGGATTTCAATTCTTCTTACTGAAGGAATTCCAATTAGTCATAAATGTGTTGTTCAATCATTTTTTATAATATAATGCTAAGACATTCTTGAATGAGTGAATTTATTAAATCAATTGCCATAAATTAAGTTGGTTTAATCATCTTATTGGTTAATTTTAATAATAAGTTGTCATTTAGTTTTGGCTAAGATTTATTATAATTATAGACTTTAGAAGAAACAATAATCATAACAGATTTTATTATTGTAAAACTGATCTTTTTCATGTTTTTCTTTGACAAAATAGAATTTATGCATGCAGTTACAATTCAAATGTTATTCAAAATTTTTTTCAGTACAATATTTGGCATATGCATTATCATTACTAAATGTAATTTAATGCAAAAAAATTAAAAATAGCTAAAGAACTAATTTATTTTGATTTACAGTTTATATGTTGAAAATTTTTTATGCTAATTTTCTTTCTCCATTCTACATACTTATACTTCTAAAAATTTTAACATGACTTTCAAAAATGTGCCCAAAATACAAAGATTCTAGTCTAAACTTCATAACTTACCACACTGATGACGATCATCTTCATCAGAATTATCAAGGCAATCATTATCTCCATCACAAAGATATATTCGTGGAACACAATTACCATTATCACAAGTAAAGAGGTCACCAAAACATGTCCTTTTCTCACTCTTACAGTAATCTTTTGGTTCATCAGCACCATCATCACAATCTTTATCACCGTCACAATGCCATGTTGCCGGTATGCATCGATTATTAGGACATCTATAATAACGTAAATACATAACTTCAATAATATTTTTACCATTAAAATAATTCAAACTGAAAATAGTAATAACCTAAAACTGTTTGGTGGACAAGATCTATCTGAGCAAACAATTGAATTTTCATCAGAGTTATCTCCACAATCATTATCTCCATCACAAAGCCAATATTGTTCTACACATATGTTTGTTGAATTGCATTTTATGTGATTTGCAGGGCAAGTTCTATTATTAGGACATCTTTCGGCACTTTCATCAGAAGTTTTATTATCTTTACAATCGTGTACACCATTACATAATTGTGCATTGGGTATGCAACGATAATTGGCACAAGTAAATTCTCCCTCTTTGCAAGGTGGATATTCTGTAAAGAATTAATGAGCATCAAATTAATGTGTAAAATATTACATAAAACACACAAATAATTATAAGTAAATTTTTATTCTATGCCAGTTTAAGTTGATACTGTTTTATATTTTATCTAATAAAAAAAATTTATAACACTAAAGAATCTTACTACAGTCCTCTTCATCAGTATTATCACCACAGTCATTTTCATGATCACATTGCCATGTTTTAAAGATGCATTTTCCATTACCACAGCGGAATTCTGATGGGCTACATGTATGTAAGGCTAAAATAGTTATAGAAATATTTGTATAAATCATTTATTCATTTGTATTATAAATAAAATGTATCCATTAACTATTTTAAATGTTTCTTAAATAAATAATATGAATTTCAAAATTTAAAATTATTATTCATGAATTTAAACCTGATAATATCATTACGAAATAAAAATATTTTAAGTAAAAAACAACACAAACCACAAAATTGTTTATCTTCATCTGTATTGTCACCACAGTCATCATCTCCATCACAAGCCCATAATCTAGGAATACATTTACCATTTGCACAAGCAAATTTTTGTTCGGAACATGTCACATTGTCAGCTAAAAATAAAAAAATTTATACAATAAAGTATTCTGTAAACGAATAATGTGTTACTGTTTTTTTTATAAACTAATTAGTAAAGACAATTTAAACCTGAATATTTATTAAAATTTCTGTCCTATTTTAAATTCATTCTAGTTTTATGAAGTGTTTAAATATATAAATAACATTATAAAATTATTTATAATACAAAAAAATAAAACTTACGAACACACATGCGCCCTTCATTGGCAACTTTGAAGGTATTATTACACAGACATTCAACTGTTCCATTTTCAGCTTGATGACAGGAATGTGCACAGCCACCATTATTTAAACTGCAGACAGATGAATTACCTAAAATTTTAATAACAAAGTACTTTATAATCAAATTAAAACAAATTTGCCTTAATGTATATTTATTAACTGCATTAAATATTTATAAAAATATTTATTTTGCTTAAAGAAAAAAATTGTTTTAAGTTTATTGAAAACTTGAAAATTCCTCAGCAATATTTATATAATTATGTATTTTAATTTAATGAATATTAAAAAAATATCACAATGTAACCATATACTTACATTTTTGTCTATCTGGTGCATAAACATGTATGTCTCGTGGTGATTCTTCAAGCCGTTTAACCATTTCTATCATTCCTGCACCTGTGTGTTTTTCAGCACGATATACACCTCCTAAAAATCATAAATAATTTTTCAAATAAAATAAAATAAATATATAAAATAAATAAAATAAATATATTAATTAAACATTAAACCATAATTAAATTTTCATTATTGTCCAATGAAAATAATGTAATTCACTGTTTTTCTAATCTAAAATATAGTCATTATTACATCACTTTTTTTCATTTAAAATTTACAATATATATAAGAAACACTCAAAAACACTTCCACTCACTTTTAAAAGCCATATAAACAAGACAGTAAAATCAATGGCCATCTGTTGTGGGATATTATGGCATTTTTGTAAAATCATATCCTCTAAATCTGTTCTCTATGGTCCATATTTTTTGCTAATTTTCAGTCTCTTGTGGACTATTGCCTTCCCATTTGGTCCATGGGTGCCCCCTCTTTATTTGCTAATATATTGAGAGCAACTCGATAAACTTTACCTACTTTTAAATAAGTTTAATAATCTACTACAAACTAATAACACAAATGTCACTAGAGTAAGACTACAATTTTCAGTTTTGTTTGAAAGAGTAAATATTTCAATTGAATTCTCTTTTTAAAATACTTTAACAGTCTAATTCCACAATTTTGCCTAAATCTAATGATCCCCAGAAGAAACATCCATAATACTATGTGCATATACAGTATACTCCTCATTTTCATTTGTCATTGTCACATAGATCTTATTTTTATTGAATAGCTGATAACATGGGCCCAATGGAATGTCTACTACATGAAAAATTTGCTTATTATAAGCAGGTTTTTCGACATTTATTACATAACTCTTAAATCTTTTTTTTTTTACTTTCCACTTCTTAATTATTATTATTCTTTTTAATATTTTCTCTTTTATTCCCATACTTTTGCTTGTCACAATTACACCTTTTATTTATCATACTTCAAAATATATATTTTTTTAATATATAATTTTTATATTTTTTTAATGAATGTATATTATCTGTATGCTTTTTTTATTTATATTTCTCTTATATATATATTTATGTATTGTGTTACTGCTTTGTTTGTGTTTTTCTGTTATATTTTGTAATTTTTATTCTTCTTTTGGGCTTGTTATGTACTGGGGATGGAAATCAATGGCATAATGGCACTTCCAAAATTTGATGTAAAATAAATAAATAAATGAATAAATTTTTAAAATCTGATATAAGTTAAATAATGTAATAAAAATAAAATATAAGTTTTTATGATCTTAACAGCAATTCTGTTGTCAGAAAAATAAATGAATCTGAAACTGATACTAGCTGTTTTCTATTTCTGTCACAATTAAGCTGACATTAAAAATATTGTGTTATCATCTTTCATGATTTTAACCTATGATCACAAATAATAGTGATGATTTTCGGCACCTACTAGTTTTTTGTATACATTTTTCAGTAATTTAACATACTTAGCTGTGTCCTCATGCTCTATGCTATCCATCTAACTGCTTAAAAACTTCAGGCAAAAAAAAACTTTTCCACTTATTACAGGCCATCAAAAAACTACTGCAGAAAATAATCAACTTGTGCATGCAATACAATTTTTCTTTATTGTCACACATTCACATGTGGAAATTTTCGGTACGTTTCTGTTAACAGGACACCAGTTGTAACTTTAATCTGATGCACAATACCATTGTTTGTGTTGCAACATTACACATGAAAAATCAGCAGAAAATTGCTGTCTTATGCATGTGATTGTGTGTAATAAATATATGTGATCCCTGGTTAAAGTAATATTACAACAGAGTTCATTTAAAAACTGAAAATCTTTCAATAAATTCCTTCAAATTTCATATGAGTTTGCTTTGTAAAGCAAAACTTCATTATATATCAAAAATTTCTTAAACTTATAAAAAAAAAAATATATGTCTATTTTTTAATTTGAAGATGTAATAATGAAACTATTCTTTTCAAATTTTTAAGTTTTTGATTAAAATTTTCAAAAATTTTCTGAAAGCATTTCATTTAATATATATTTTGAGAATAAATTTACAATAATAAAATTTTTTAACTTACGAAGCTGTAAATCTGTCCAATATATATAATTCCTGTGCACAGTAATAGCAAATGGATATATAGTTGCAGGTACTAATACTTCACGATTTTTACCATCAAGATCGGATCTTTCAATTTTTTCTCTAAAAAATTTATACTACCTTAGAATTTATGGAAAAATAAGTTTCTGAAATATCTTTGACTGCAATAATGTATATTAATTGTAATTTAATTTATTAAATATATAATTTTTATAATTAGTAAGATTTTAACCAATCTTAAAATCATATAAACACTTTTTTTTACACTATATTGCATTAAAACTTTAGAATAAACGTCTCAATACAAACCTCAATGCATCAGTCCAGTATAATTTTCTCTCTTCATAATCAATAGCTAATCCACTTGGTTGAGTTAAATTATCACCAATGATTTCAGTTTTTTTATTGCCTGCCATAGTTGAACGATAGATTTTTCCTTTGTTTCCAAATCGTCCCCAATCAGTAAAATACATAAAACTAAAAAGAATTTTTTTTAATTTAATAGTCATTTTCATATTGAAAAATCAATACCAATATTAAATATTTATTGTATTATAAAAATTAATTTATTATGCATTAAGTAAATGTTAAATTTCATAAATTTTAAATTTGTTATACAATAACTCAGAAAAATTACTGTAAATACAGAAATCATTCCAAGTTTTATTTAAGAATTCCAATAATTTTCTCTTTCCAAAACAATTTTTTAATGACAGTTTCATTTTCAACCCATTTTAAACTTTTCATTTCTTCAAAAAATATAAATTCTCTTAAAAAGTAATAAAAATATTTAAGAGATGTACTGATAATGAAGTAATGCTAATTTTAAAATGTTTAAGAATAAAGATCTGAAACTTTACTTATAAATAGTTTATATTATATTATAAAATTAATATTGTTTTAATATATTTGTCATGTTTCAAAACATGAAAAATACATTTTAATAGTACAAAATTATTTTGAAGTACAACTACATATTTACATAAGACGAAAATTTTCTCACCCTTCACAAGGATCTAGAACAATTGCTCTTGGTCTTTCAACACGAGTAATCATAACAAGTTGAGATCCATCCAAATTCATTGCATAAATACTTCTGTTACCAGAATCAGTCCAATAAACTTTTTTAGTAGTCCAATCAAATGCAATTCCCTCNGTACGTGTGACGTTCGGCGCCGCTTTCCCGTAAGCCTAAAAGTTTGACGATGGTGTTTGGAATGTCGAGCGTGATTCCACCGACTATCCAAACACCATTGTCAAACTTTTAGGCTTACGGGAAAGCGGCGCCGAACGTCACACGTACACGTTTACACGTTTAAAACGTGCGCCTCAACCTCTCTAATATATCTTAGTTAACTAATTTTTAACAACTCTGTGTATTTAATTCTAATAATTGAGAATTACTTCCATTCCATGTAATAATAAATCAAAAAAAGTCTTATTTTCAAAACTTCTTTGTTATTGCTTTCATAAAGATGCATTTATTTATATATTTATAATTTACTAAAAAAATCATGCTTAATAGTTTACAGGATTCAAAAAATTTATTTTTATCAAAACATATTTTGGAACTTTTACAATTCTTTACATGTATATATCTTATCTTTTCCCATGTATTAACAAAACTAATTAACAACTTCTAAACTCCACAGAAACTTAATATTATAATATCTTCAAAAAAATCTTATAAAAAAAATAATAAATCTGTAATTAACATAATAATATATAAAAATTATTACTTGGCCTTTTGCTGTATACTTTCATAGTAATCAAATTAGCAGCATTTTCTTCCATAACAACTGGATTTTTACCATCAGGTAAATTAACTCTCACAATTTTTTCATAGACTGTATCCAGATAATATAATCGATTATTATTTAAAGAAAGACCCTGAGGTTTTGCAATTCCTGCTGAAGCTGAAACAATCACTTTCCTATTTTTTCCTTCTACATCAATCATTTCTATCTATTATGTAAAATTAATTTATAATTATTACTAATCAATCTGAATATTTTCAAAGAAAAAATTGAAAATTTTTGCAGGAAAGAGAAAAATAGGTGGGTAATGGAACAGAAATTAAAGTTTTGATATATTATCATATTTAAGTATCGTATACATTTAAAAAAATCTTAATGATAAAGTTTCGTTTTTTTATTTTAAATAATTTAAATAAAACTCACCTGTCATTGGCTGATTTTTCTTGTCAAAAATAACAATGTCTCTCAAAGTATCCAGATCAGATTTAAAAGATTCTATAGTGCTACTATTATCTGAAGTTTTATTTGCAGAGAAAACAGTCCTGAGATTTCGATCAACCCAAAATACTTTATCTCCATAAATTGCAACACCCATGGGATTTGGCAAATTTTTACGAACATACTGGCGTTTCCCACCACTGAATGATACCCTCTAAAATAAGTTAATAAATTAGTAAAATTCAGTTAAAGTTAAATATTTAGTAAATTAATTTCAAATGTTATCAATTATAAATTATCTTAATATCAAACATTCCAACAGTAAAATTTTTAAAAATCTAGATAATTTAAAATTATGCTATTTTATAATAGTATATTATTATAACTTTTTTATGTATATTTTTTCTATCCATCTCTGTTAAAATTATTTGTTTTAAAAAAAAACATAAGATGTAAAAAAACAACATAATATGTCAAACTACTATGGTTTTTTTTCATGTATAAAATAACCCCCCTGTAACAAAGATTTTTTTCCTTAGTACAATAAAGCTTTGATTAATTGATTGATTGATAATAGTATATTATCAATCAATCAATAGTATATTACTATGCCTTGAATTTACTTTTAAGTTTAATAAGTTGTATTGTATTGTATTGCATTAAGTTTGATTACAATTCTTAAATATTGACTTACTTTCTTTTTAATGAAAATTACTTTGATTTATTATGATAAAAAAAAATATTCATGTTTATTTTTGTATACATGCTAGGTTGAAAGATATCTATTTATATTAAAATGTATTTTTTCTATACTGCCTTCATAAGAATGTCATATTAACATCGAGAGTAAAATTGAGAAATGAAAGCTTAAAAGTTTTTATCCTGGTCTTAGAGTATTATTTGAACAAATTGCTTTTGAATGTGGTTTATCATACACATATATTGATAAACCACGTTTGAAAATAATTTGTTCAAATAATACCCCAGGGTCAGGATAAAAACTTTAAGCCTCAGTTCTCATTTTCATCCTTGGTGCAGATATGGCATTCTATCTTAAGAGAGCAGTATAGTAGACACAATAAATTAAATTTCTAACACATTATAAAACATGAAAACTTTATATATAATTTTCATGAATAGTTCATTATTTTATCATTTTAACATACTTTCTAAACTTTTCCTTTTAATTCAATAATTGAGTTTTCTGTATTTTTCTTCTGCCAGTTTTATTTCTATCATTATCTAATAATACTATTTACAATATTTTCTTGTCAATTTTCTTTTTGTTATATTAATTTAAATAAATCTGACCATTTTTATTTTCTAAAGTAAATGTAAAAAGTAATTATTAATAAAACCTCAAAGAATTTTAAAGATTTACCATAATATACTATATTTTATACTATAAGATATACCATAATTTATACAATTGTTCATTAAAGCAAAAACTTCTGTTAATTTACATATACTTCATATATTCTATTAGTTGTGAATTAAACTAATCATTTTCTGTATAAATATAATCATTATTTATACAGAAAATTAATTCAAAATTATAATTTAAGAAATAACTAGGAAGTGTTATAATCAATATAATTCTTAATAAAATTAATTTATGAATAATTATTTTTAAAAAAAAATTTTTTAAATGTTTCTGCACAATGAAAATTTGAATTTGTTGCTTTTACCTGAATTGCATCTTCTCTTGAATCTACCCAATATACATCATGGGTTGCTATATCTATGGTAAGATCACGTGGGTTGCTAATGCCTGTTACAACAATCTGAGTACGATTTGTTCCATCTAGTTGCGCTCTCTCAATTTTTGGATACTGGCCATAATCAATCCAATACAAATAACGTTTAATGGGATTTACTGCTATCTCTCTTGGAGAATCGGTTGTGGTTTTTAATAAAATCATTCGATTTGTTCCATTTAACCAACAAACTTCAATGTAAGTTTCATGAGGAAAAACATTTGTAAAATATAAGTTCTCTATAATAATAAAAATTTAAAAATTTTAGTTTTATTTTGTTGAAAAGTATTTTATTTAACTTACATATAAAATATTTTTAAAATACAGAAATATTTTATTTAAATAAATTCACAAAATCTATATATCATATAGAAGAAAACAAAAATTAATTTACACTTCAAAGAAGAAAAAGTGAAACTGGTAAGGAAGAAAACTGTGATTATTTCTTTACAAAACATATAAAACAAATAGGTGATTTAAAATGAGACATCTCTGGTCTTCTTTCATCGAATGATGAGTGCATTAAAAAAGTTATGCTATATTCAATGCAATTTTCATTTATCCACGACAAATCATAAATAATCACATGAAACATATTTATTAATAAAATGAGCAATTGTTTATAATGAGAACATTACAATGCTCAGCTGCAATTTTTAATCATATTTTTAATTTATTTAACTTCAAATATATGCTCTCTACAACCTCAAATTAGTAGTGGCTTGCCCCTGTGCATCATACTTTTCCTTTAATAATAGAGTCATGTTAGTCATCTAAAACCTTTCAGGGGAAATCTTTTAATTGAATTAACGTGACTTTTGATACAAACTGGAAGTTCATATATAGTTAATTGGGGCCTCCTGTTTCTAAGGTTTCCATATCTGGTCTTGTCTTTCATCTATCTAACTTCATTCTTAAAATTAAGGAAAGACAGATGGATGACAGCGGGAATTTATGACCTATAAATTCTCGCTGTCATCCATCTGTCTTTGGGCTGCAGTTTGAAAAAATTGGGCTGCAGTCAATTGGGCTGCAATTTGAAAAAATTGTAGACCTTACAATTTTTTCAAACTGCAGCCCAATTAATTACTGAAAAACGAATGACTAAATATTAAATAAAAGTTAAAATGATAGAGAAAACCAATCAACAGAATGTTTAAATTAATACTGATCTGCAGCTAAGTACTATTTTAAATATAGAAAACTGAATTTATTATTAAGATTGAAATTTGATGATAATATAATTAGTCTACATTTTTATGGCATTTTTAACATTTCAAAATATCTATATTTTATTGTTAAAAAATAGACAAAAACTCTTTATCATTCAGATTTTTCTAATACATTTAGCTATACTCATCACTATGAATCTTAAAGTCTGTAGTGCTTCTTCAATGGTGATAAGATATTTTTCTTTTTATCAAATTATATAAAGTAAAATTTTCTAAAACAAAATATCAAAATTTTATATTTCAAAATTAACAAGAATTAGCTCAGATACACATTNAATCTAAACAAATTATAAATGTCAGTATATGCTTCATGTTAATAATTGATTAGAAAAGATTTAATGTTGTAAGGATGTTTTTACATTTACATTTTCTTTGTCATCGTTTTCCAATTGAATCCAGAATAATGTACCATCTTCTTTGTCATAATCAAAATCATGACCATTTTCAATTCCAATAAGTGGTGTAAAATATCCAACTCGTTTGTCTCCAGGAGTTAAACTCATATCAACCAATTGTGTGGAACGCATTACCATCAGATATGGTGTATCAACTGAAAATAAAAATTAAAAAGTTTTAATTTTACAATGTTTGTTATATGAATAATGAATATAAATAATTATGCCAAAATTTAATATAGTGTTAAAAGAATAAGATTCTCAAAATATGTCAACTAACAAAGTAAATAGCCTACTTTATGTTCATTAGTATATATTTTAATGTTATTATGTTTACATAAAAAAATATTACTGAAATGACAAATTTTCTCACTGAAAATATTGAGAGAAATGAATCATACAAGAAAATTTAAAATCTGATGGCCACTTATGTGACTGATAAAAACTTGTTTTTAAATAACTAACAACAACTCTTTAAATTCTACTGAAATCAAATATACAAAAATCTTAAGAAATCTTTCTGTATAAATAAATACGTTAGGAGCCATCTGTGTGTACAGTTTTTGAGCCACTTTTGATTCCCTCCTTTCTGTTATGTACTGTACAATAATGTATTTTTGACAAATTTTACCATTTAGGTTTTCATTAGATCTTTGCCCAAATACATACAAAACTTAATATTAATACACTGCTCAATAAATGTCTCATTTATTGAGCAGTGTATAATGTGCATTCTCTAACTAGCATTCCACAACTCACAATATCTGTATATACCAATGATCACATGACCTATTTGGACAAAACCTCTTCTCTGTGCAAGGGATTTATGTCATAACATTCATAAAGTTAAACAAGTTGAATGCATTAGTAACAAATTGGTCAAAAAGTAGTAGTCTCGCTCAGTGCGCATACTCTGCAGTGATGACATTTCGTAACAAAACTCTAACAAAGTTCACAAAGGAAAGAGTTAGTTTACTTTGTTAAGAAAATGGCGCGCAATGATATCGATGTTTCTGAATCTACTTGAGTGTTTATATTGTGAATTGAAAGGTGAAATGATAGAAATAACTGTCCACCCAAAGCAATCTAAGAAAAATAGTTCGGATAAGGCTGCAGTAGCAACATTCATATCTTCAATTTTAGAAACAGCCATTTAGTTATAAATGAATCAGTCAAAAAGTCTAACAAAATAAGAATAGTGATGATGTCATTCTCGTTTAACTCGTTCAACTTTACGAACAGACCCAACATAAATCAAGAATCACTATGAGTATGGTATACGTATATGTTCCTGTATGAACACACATGTATACATGTATGAACATACTCATTATGGATCTTACAATGTAAGAACAAATTTGTATGCCACTACTATCACTAAAAACATCTTAGTATAAAATGTCTTGACTCCCTTCCTATCCAACATATATAATGTTCTACCTTTCAGAACCCTCCCCTTAAACTGTATATAAGGGGGAACATGCATAAATCATGCATATAATGATTTAACTATCAGAACAACAATGACAAAAAATTCCAGGAACTATACTACAATAAATAAATAAATGAGTAATCAAACCTCTTTGTAAAAATTAATAAATCTTAGAAAGTTCAATAGCTTGTCAAGATTTGTCATGTGGTCCAAAATTCCTGACAAGCTTCCATTTCCAAAATGACTTGTGTGAGCACCCTCAAATTCAGGGCATTCGCACAGTATGTGTTTAACACTCTACCAGCCACTATGCCATCAGTTGCAATGGTGGCATACTGGCTGGTCATCACCCTTCAAAAGATATTAATGAATCAGCCGAGTATTTCCAATCCTCAGGTGGGTAAGGATTACTTCAAATCTCCTTTCATAAACCTCATTATGTGTCCAATTTTCTATCAAAGCTTTAATCTGATGTAGTTTATTGTTAAATATAAATAAAAACATAAAAAATAAAAATTTTATATATCTACTTTTATAAATTAATCTGTAAATTTATCATAAGTTTTCAATTGAAATAAAATTTAAATTTATGAAATAATTCAATGATATTTACCCAAACTGCATTTTCCAAGTGGCGCTGTTCTATCCTGAGCATATCCAGCAGGGCACTTGCAAGTAAAACCAGTTGGTTTAGAAGGAGAAAGTAAACATAAGTGACTGCATGGTGCTTTTTCACAAGGATTGCTTGCTAATTAAAAATAAATTAATGATATTTATAATATTGGACTAATAAAGTTATTACTTTTATATAATTAATATAGGCCTAAATATCAAATATTTAAAATTTTATTTTTAAAATTCAAGCTTATAAAAATATAATTATATAATGCTTAGAAATCATAAACTTCTATTCAGAACTTTCAGATTATTTGTTAAAACAAATCATTTAAAATATTTTAAATTTTTCAAGATTTTTAAAAATGATTATAATAATTTATAAATTTAATATACATATCAATGACATAACTAGAATTTACTTAACATATGCATAAAAGCATTTGGATCTCCAAAAAAAATACTTATATTTAATATTTAGTATTTGCTTTAAAATAAATTTGGCTTTTTGATTCATAAATTACTTGTACATATAATATTCAAATAAGTTATTTAAAACAAATTTATAAATGTGTATATACTGNCAAAATATCTATATTTTATTGTTAAAAAATAGACAAAAACTCTTTATCATTCAGATTTTTCTAATACATTTAGCTATACTCATCACTATGAATCTTAAAGTCTGTAGTGCTTCTTCAATGGTGATAAGATATTTTTCTTTTTATCAAATTATATAAAGTAAAATTTTCTAAAACAAAATATCAAAATTTTATATTTCAAAATTAACAAGAATTAGCTCAGATACACATTCAGAATAAGTTGTATTAAAACAAAAGTGATACCTGCAATCCAATCAACCGCTACTCCACGAATTCCATTACTGCCAATTCCATCAGAGATAACATGTGTAAAATCAGTTCCATCTGGTTTCATACGATAAATTCCATTCTTTTCTCCTTGATTATACTCAACCCAATATACATGATTCTGTGCAACATGTACATCTAGATGCAAAATATTGTGACCTGAAAACATTTAAATGCTTAATTATTTCTGTTAAAAAAAACTAGAAATAATGTTTTATATTAAAATAATATATAAGCAATGAAAAATACACATAAATAATTCTTTATTAAGATTAAAAATTTAATAAAATACCTGGTCCAGATATAGGTACTGTAGCTTCTGCATGATCTTCGAGACTGAATCCTCTGGCTTTATCAAGTTCAGAAATCATAGCAAATGATGTATAAGGTTTGCATTTTGTTTCTTCTTCAGTGTGATAACCAATTCCACAGAGGCACCTATGTTTAGCAGAAGGAAGTGGTACACAAATTTGCTGACATCCTCCATTAGCCAATCTGCAAGGATGATTTTTCACAGCTGTAGAGAAAACAAATATAATGGCAATTAGTGTGAAAATTTATTAAATAAATATTTGTAAAATATTCAATGACAAATGTTACCTATATCAGAAATTTGGTCACTAAAAATTTTTTAACATAAGTTATGATATGAAAATACATTTTAATGCATTATATAGTTTTTTAATATTTATAAATTAAAATTATTTAATTTAAAAAATAAACTTTGTGAACAATATTAAATAATACATTCTTTATTTATGAAGTTTATTATTTTTAATATTATTGTCAAAACATATTTAATAAATAGTTAGAAAAAAAGTAGAAAAAAAAAGAATATTTTTCCTACACTCTATTTTATGATAATATTTAATATAGCATCCTTGTTTGATGTAAAGTTACATCATGAATTAATTCAAATTGATTAAAATTATGTATTGATCAAAATTATGAAATAACTATGAATTAAAAAACATAATACAAAAATTCATAATGCTAAACTTCATCTAGTCTAAATATAAAATTAACATATTTATATTCTGAATAGACAAACTAGACTGACTTCTTATATAAATAATAAATCTGATCTTTAAAAAAAGTTNGTAATAAAAATAAAATATAAGTTTTTATGATCTTAACAGCAATTCTGTTGTCAGAAAAATAAATGAATCTGAAACTGATACTAGCTGTTTTCTATTTCTGTCACAATTAAGCTGACATTAAAAATATTGTGTTATCATCTTTCATGATTTTAACCTATGATCACAAATAATAGTGATGATTTTCGGCACCTACTAGTTTTTTGTATACATTTTTCAGTAATTTAACATACTTAGCTGTGTCCTCATGCTCTATGCTATCCATCTAACTGCTTAAAAACTTCAGGCAAAAAAAAACTTTTCCACTTATTACAGGCCATCAAAAAACTACTGCAGAAAATAATCAACTTGTGCATGCAATACAATTTTTCTTTATTGTCACACATTCACATGTGGAAATTTTCGGTACGTTTCTGTTAACAGGACACCAGTTGTAACTTTAATCTGATGCACAATACCATTGTTTGTGTTGCAACATTACACATGAAAAATCAGCAGAAAATTGCTGTCTTATGCATGTGATTGTGTGTAATAAATATATGTGATCCCTGGTTAAAGTAATATTACAACAGAGTTCATTTAAAAACTGAAAATCTTTCAATAAATTCCTTCAAATTTCATATGAGTTTGCTTTGTAAAGCAAAACTTCATTATATATCAAAAATTTCTTAAACTTATAAAAAAAAAAATATATGTCTATTTTTTAATTTGAAGATGTAATAATGAAACTATTCNTTTTATAATTTAGAAATGAAAAACTGAAAAGCAAATCAAACACAGAACAACTATTTAATGTAATTATACTTCTTGTCATAAACATAAATAAACATTAACAAATAATTCCTGATGTAGCATAAATTTTGGCTAATTGTATGGACTTGTCACATCTTGTAGGTTAAGTGATGAAACAGCATCAGAAATTAAATTAAAAAAATACACTTTATTAGTATCCCGCATTTTTTATGCAGCGAGAGTGTAGCAAATGATGTCACAAGCAGTGTTGGCCAATTAGAAACTAGTTTCAGTGTGTTCGCTTTAAAGCGCTGCATAAAGAAACGCGGGATATTTGAAATGCATTTTGGACTCATAATCTCTTATCAGTCCAAACAAATGTTTTTTTGCCTCAAATTGATAAATAATTTGAGACAAAAAAAATTTATAAATAATTTACAGAAAAAATAATGGAAGTTAATTTGGTATTATCTTTTGTATATAATTTATCAAGGCATAATGTCTAAAATCATTTCTAAAAGCCAATTGAAAATTATAGTCAATCAAAACTAATTTTTAATCTGTCAGATAATAAACAGATTCATAAAGTATAAAGTTGAGTTATAATTTTACAAAACAGTCACTGTATTGAATAGATTAGTTTAAACTAAAATATTTATTTTTTACTTAATATTAAACATTCTTGAAATAAAAATAAAATAAATGATTAGACTAATTCATTTATAATAAAATATTTATGTAAAATACTCAAATATTAAAACTGTATTGAAGAAGCAAAAATGTCTATAAGTTCATGACTCACAGTCACCAGGAACTAAATAGAAACAGGCCTGCAATTTTAAAATTGCAGCCTTATAAATTCCCACTGGCATCTGTCTGTCTATTCTTTCTTAATCTTGAGAATAGAGTTAGATGGATAAAAGCTGAGACCAGATATGGAAGTGTAAGAGCCAGAGTCTCTATTAACAATATATATAAACTTTTGGTTTGGATTGGAAGTCGCATTATTTCAATTCAAAAATTTTCTCCAAAAAAGTTAGATGACTGGCATAACACTATTGTTAACAGGAAAAGTATGATGTACATGGAAAGACACTAATAAAATCAGGAGCATTGTGCATCAAGCTCTAAAATATTGTAGACCAGCACTGTGACAGTGTCATAATAAATAATTGCTCATTCATAAATACAACCTTTTATTTGAGGTAATATGCCTCTATAGAATACAAAACAGTTATGAAGACATTTTTGTTTCTTCAGTACTGTTTTAATACATAAATACCATTGGCTAAATTTTTAATCAACTTTTTATTTATTTATTGTATTTTTCAGGCCATTAATATATTTTCTGATTTTGAAAATTTGTTTCTTTTGTCATATTTATTAAATTACAAAATGGATTTAGTTAAGAGATGTTAAGGAGATAAATTTGATAGGAAATTTAAGAAAACAAAATAAATTTCTATTATTTCTGTTGTACGAATTATTAATCAACATAAATCTACATTTTAAAGTAACATGTAATATTATGGTAATAACTGAATCAATCCATCTTGATTCAAGCATAGTTCTAGAAATATGTTAAAAAATAATGTAAATGTCAAATATAAAATTTTAATTTTTATATTGTATAGACAATATACTTATATAAAAAAAAGTTTCTTTTCTCCAAAATTGTTGAAACTAATATCATAAAAATAATATAGTAGAGGTATTATCACACTGCTATGATAACATTAAAATGACACTTCTATCAACAGAATGCAACTTTATTACTAGTATGTATTTCGATACACGAAATTATATAGATATCTGTATAGATCTAGAAATTTTATTTTTAGATATTGCCTCTTTATAATATAATTCTCATAGTATTGTGCAGTGTGGGTGAAAATAAATCTTAAACAGGTATGTTTTAAATTGTAGATTATAATTAATGTAAATTTCTCTGCAAATTTGTTCTATAACAGATATCTACCGTGTTTCCCCAAAAATAAGACATCCTCTAAAAATAAGATCTAGCAGAGGTTTTGCTGAATTGCTAAATATAAGACCTCCCCCTGAAAGTAAGACTTGGCAAAGTTTTTTTTTACTCATAATGGTTCGACAGATGGTTGAAAGTGGCCGTTTGGCTTTTTGAAAGTACAGCCACTGACTGGTCAGCAGACAATCATGCCACATGGCATGATTTGCATAAGACTATGGCTTGGGAATCACAGATTTGCATAATGTTACGGCTGGTGATTGCTAATTGGTCAGCCAGGAATCATGCCACATCACATTTGCATAATGCTATGGTTCAGTAAGCACTAACTTGTCATCGAGCCCAATGTCAACACTATAAAAAAGTTAAGTTGAAGCAAGAGTGGGAAGTCCACTCCAGCACAGGAACTTTATAAGTTCACTTCGGTTCATGACTTTGGTTTTATTTAAGTTCAGTTCAACACAACTGGATATACGTCACTCTCATCTAAGTTCAACTTGGGACTGAAAGTCTGCATCAGAGTTCGAGGCAAGGCTGGATATGTCTCGCTGTTTGTTCTACAACCACCAGAAGGTTCAATTTTTCAATTTTTTGTTAAACTATAAATGTAAATTCTTCTTCATGGAAAAATAAGACATTCCCTGAAAATAAGATGTAGCGCATCTTTGAGAGCAAAAATTAATATAAGACACTGTCTTATTTTTAGGGAAACACAGTATACATTTTTATGTATAGCTGATGAGGGTCTTGTGTACCAAAATATATACCAATAATACAGTTGCATTCTGATGATAGAAATGTCATTTTGATGTTATCAGTAGCAGTGTGATAAGTCTCTGTTATCTCTACTATAGTATTTGAGATATTAGTTTCAATATACTACATAATATAGTAAAAAATTAAATATATTAAAACATTGATATAAACAATAAAAATATTCTAAATTAGAATCAAATGTTAATTTATAACATTAACAAGAAGATACAATATTCAAAAAACAATTTCAAGTTCTATAAACAACTTATGGCTTGTTTCTAAAAGAAATTTTTTAATGACTAAAGTTTAAAATTAATATAAACATATAAACTAACTCAATTTGGAGATGTTTTCTAATAACTAAATATCTAACATCATTCAGAAAAATTTATGCTTCAAAAATTATAACAGCATTATCATTTCACTTAAAATTCTAAGTTATTTAGTAAATCATTTAAAAAGTTTTCAGCCTTTCCTTTCAAGAAACTAATTTTCAACAATCCATTTTAAAAGTTGTAGGATAGTTCAAATTTTAAAAGTATTTAAGTCAATACTGGAAAGAAATATTCTATATTTGAAAAAAAATTAAATATTTCAGCTCTATATAATACAAACTGAAGACAACTGCATAAAAAAAATACTTATTTTTAAGAATCTTTCAAAACAATTTTGGCATTTCTGAACTGCTATATTAAATTATAAGATTACTCAAATTATCGTGAAGATATCAAAATTATTCAAATAAAAAGATTGAAAATTATCATATTAAATCCAGTATAAATTGTTTGTATGTTGCTTTTACTGATCTAATTCTCAAATCTCAAATATTGAAAAAAAAATGGGAATTCCAAATATAAATTGTAAGTTTTTTACATTTGGAAAAAGCTATATCATCAATTTAAATATATTATACTTTTTTAAAATCATTTTAAATAACTAATTATAAAATATAACTAATACAAAGCATATATATTAGCTCTATATTAGCTATATTTTGTAATTATTTATTTAATACTAATTAAATTATAAGATTATTTATGTATTATTTTTAGTATATTAATAATGAAAAGAATGTACTCTGATTGTTTCTCACTAAAAATAAGCACGTGCATAACTAACTATAATTTTTTATATTTCCATTATAAAAATTATTTTAATTTGACTAAATTGTAATAAACTACAATTAACTTAATACATTAATTAAAAAAAAAGAATATATCTTTAAACATATACAATCATTTTCATTAAAAATATACCTTAATTTTGATTACATACATGCAGGTTGTAAAATAGGATGATTCACATGAATTCCGAGCGGCTGGCTTACAAGATGAGAAACAACTGTTTCATTTTCGCCTTTATACTTATGACAGGAAAGAACTCTGTTCAACTGACGATCAGTCCAATATAAGGTGTCTTCAAATATTGTTAAAGAATGTGGATGTAGTAGATACTGAAAACAAAATTAATTACTTAATGTTTTCAAATAATAATTATTATAATATTTTATTTTTAATTAGTAATTTAAAATAATATTAAATTACTCAATAAATTACAATTAAAAAAGAAATTAAGATATTTTATTAAATTATTTTTATTTATTGAATTAGTTTTATTATTATTGTTGTTGTTGTTGTTGTTGTTGTTGTGTGGTGTGGTGGTGAAATGTATCCTACTCAGCTTATATACCAGTACCTAATGCTATGCCAAACTAAAGTCAAAAAACAGCAACAGGAAAAATATTTTGTTCACAAACTTTTCTGTATATATCTGTGTTTAACAATTTCATGACTATGTGACATCTTTAGTATGGCAGATTTTCTGTAATGTATTTGCATACTGTTATAAAGCCCTAATGTTTCTAGATTTTTGTATAGTGTTATGTGTTATGTATGAATCATGTGAAAGAAAAAATTACTAGCACAATAAGTACATTACCTATTCTCCACATATGTTTTATTTCTTGGAAAGCTTTGAGTATTTACTAAATTTTTTAATTTATGTGTTTTGTATGTTGGATATCCTATAAAAAATATTTCAGTATACATTAACATTTAAATTTTACAACACTTGTCATTAAGAAACTTCTCGAATTTATAGCTAAATGGCATCCATGTACTGAATCTATGATATGAACTTCAGCAAAATAGAGGTAACCATGTGGACTTAGGAAACAGTAAACCAATTTCAAAGATCTTACTTAACTTTTTCAGTTGACACTTGAAAGATTCTCAATCAGCATGTTTTGCAGCAGACTAAACTGTGAAGAAATATGTCTATTGTAGTGCTTAAATGTTCCTATCATGTTGTTGTCAAATCACAAGTTTTGCCAATGTCACTCACAAAAAATGCACCTTGTTTCCACAATTGGACATGTCCAGTAGGAAAAATGCAGGCACACACACACACGCACACACATACTGGTGGAATGCACTTTGTTTATTTTGCAACAGATTGCATCAATATTGAATCTTTTAAAAATTAATCATTATTAAGAGCTACACTTACATCATTAATAAATTTTCTAGCTGCTGAAATAGTACCTGAGTAGAAATACAGGATAAGTCTGTAACTGATGATGAACTTGTCACATACCTCACAAAAAATTTTGTTCATGGATATTTACAATCACAGGTGAAAAGAACTATTTAGTTGACATAAATGACATATTTGCCAAGCCCCAGCTGCCATCATCAATACCTATAGTTTCTTTATCCTCTATGGCAGTAGTTCCAAATCTTTTATATAGTATTCCTCCTCCATTGTGACCCACATGAAATGGTGCCTCCTCTCACATGCACACAAGTGTTTATTGCTCTGTATTCAGTATTTATTTATTTATTTTTTTTTATTACAGATTAAATGATACTGGTAAGATTTGATTGAAAATATAATTTTACTATTAAAAAGTATTTTTGCAAAAGTATTAAAAAGTATTTGAATTGCACAAATAATCAATGTTTGGTTCTAACTCTGTCGGTCTTATGCGTAAGTCATTCACCACATTAAACCATGAAAGTATTATTTAACAATGTGGAATAGTTTGTAATGTCTTTGCAGCTGCCTCTCCATTCATAATGGAACACATTTCTACAGCTGCTGGAACCAACAAATTCTTGGCCAGATGTCTTTCAAACTTCACAAACTTTTAAGGCTGTCATTGGCAAGAACTTGAAAATAAATGATACACTGGGGCTGTTGAATGCCGAATTTGCTACAAAACTGAACTTGACATAACTAGCAGGAAAGAATAAGTGCAGGCAATATGCCTGCACTTATTTTTTCCTATCAGAGACTATACTTGTGTCATCAGTAGTAATCCTGCTACTATTGCTAAGTTCACTTTGAACTGCAGTTTTCTGCATTACTTATAGTTCTCTTCAAACAGCAATGCTTTCTAAATATCAAAACAATTGCTTTTGTTTAGTTAGCAAATTTACTAGAATATATGGGAACACCCAATAAATATTATGCACAATGATGGAAAAGAAATTAGAGAGTAATGGGAAAACATTGTGTGCTTGTGGAAGGCTGTCACACTGTGTTTGGAGGAGTATCTGTTTTTATCCATATACACTCACACTCTTCAGTCACACACTGACTAGTATTGCACACATCTGCTCATGCCTCCCCTAAAAATGTTCTGCATCTCCCAACGAAGGCATGCCTCACCAATTGGGAATTGCGGCTCTATGGTGTCAGCAACCTTTTTATTTAATGTCCCTTTTGATGGGTATGCCAATGTTGGCTAATATTAAAACATTTTATTTTTACCATTGTGTGGCTTATGCTTTTAAATCAGAAGTGAATATTATGTATTCAAAATTTTTATACTGTCAAATAAGTGTCACTCTTTTGATTTGCAAGTTATTTTATAATCACTTAAATACAAGGATGATAGTTTTAAACTTTTATGAAGTATGCATATTTGAATTTCCTTTGACCTGATATCTTTATGTCTAAAGATAGAATGCCACTATCTATTCATGTATCACCTTCCATAATTGGAAAATTTACCATTTTTGAAAAGTTAAGAAACTCACTTTCAATATTGAGGCTACATTATTAATAAATTTTATTATACATTTCCCAACTTTTTAAGCTGCAAAATGGTAGCTTCAAAAATTGGGAAATGTATAATGAAATTTGTTTTGTTTCGTCTCAATTCACAACAAATGATTGTAAATTAAAAATGTCCAGACAGAATGGTCTTCCCTAATATTTATATTATTTAAAAAATGTTTGTTTATTCTTTTACACAAATTTTAATTTGAATAACTGTTACTAAAACTCTAAATGTATGCAAAAAAAAAATTATCACTATTCTAAACAAAATTACAGTTTCTAGCTTTCTTCTCTCTGTTTTGCCTCTCCAAAATTACATTTGGTTATAATTACTGCATTTGTATGCTTATATTCTGCATATAATTGTATATAATAAACAATTTGAAAGGAGTACAGATTAAATAATGGGACAGGCTATATGATGATTTTTAATTTGCAATTATAAACACTTGTGTACAATACAAAAGATATTCCCATAGGTGCAAGATATAGAAAAGAGCAAGTTATGCAAAGTTATTATTTTTGTTGCAGCAATTTTCTGCGGGGTATACACCATTACAAACATCAAAATACAGTAAATATTCATATGATATTAAAAAACATTTTAATGAAACTTTCACTCACATGATTATGTCCTAGTACTTGCTGTCTCCCAGAACCATCATAATTACAAAAATCAATATAATCTAATTTACTATCAGCAAAATAAATTCTTTTGTTTGGGATGTCAATTGTCAATCCATTTGGCCAAAATATTTTAGTATGCACAATCACTTTTCTCATGCTTCCATCAAGTCCAGCACTTTCAATTCTTGGATTCTCTCCCCAATCACTCCAAAACAATAATCTAACACTTTGATAACAAAAATTATTAGTACACATTAACTTTTTAATAATTTCATTCATGACTTTTTAAAAATAACTTACTCTTCTCTTGGATCCACTGCTAAACCTCTTGGTTGACTAACATTTTCAGCAATTAAAACAATATGATGATTTCCATTAGCTGTAGCCACATCAACAGTGTTTAATCTAGAATCCACCCAATATAAATTTTTTGCTATCCAATCAAATGCCAATCCTTCTACTAAATCTAAGCCACTGTCAATTACCTAAAAAAAATAAAATATTTAAATATTTTATAAAATAAACCATAAAAATTAATTTGCTTATTTAAATAAAAGCTTTATAATATTTAAACCAATCTTTAAATAGTGCATAGTCTGAATATAAAATGGGTTATCAATTGATTTAAAATACTTCTTTAATTTTTTTTAATAATGTAAAGAAATATATAAAGAAGCAATTTTGTGATAAAATAAATATATAATAATAAAATTTTAATTTAAATACTTTCAAAAAATTACATAAATAATTTAAATATATTTTGATTTTTCCACAACCAATTAATACATCACCATATTGTGTAAAGAGAAATACAAAAATGTTAAATCCAAAGTATTAATATACTCTTATATTTTTTATTATGAAGTATATTTTTGTTTTTTAAATATTTAAAAATAAGGATCATCTGTCTTAACTTTATGAGATGACAATTTATTTTTAAAAGACTATTATTATGCACCTTTTGTATTAAATTTATTTGTAGTAAAATGTGTTACATCGATGTTAAAATGGGTTGCAAACAAAGATGTATGTTAAACAAATTAAAGTTTTAAATTAATTTTAAACATATTTTAAATAAAAAGTTCCATTATTTAACTTACAACTTCTGGATCTCCTCCTTTGACCATTTTATAAATTTTTTTTGCTACCATATCTGACCAATATAATGTATCTGTTTTCATGTCTGAAGAAGTAGCAACAACATTTTCCACTCTAACAGGAACACGTTCTAATGTTGTTGTATTTAAATTAGCTACAAGAATTGACCTTCTGTTTGAAATAACCAAGTATGCACTAGTCCAATCTATAATTCAAAAAATATGTAAGTTAATTTCAAGTGAAGAATATTTTTTTTAAATATTTAATTTTGTTTATTAAAAAAAATAATAATAATATTCAATTAGTACATACTATCTGCTTTACAGAAGTGGTGATCTAATCCTAAAGTATATCCTTCTTCACAAGTGCACTTATATGAGCCTTTAGAGTTGAAGCAACCTTGACTACATATTCCAGGTACAGCACATTCATCAATATCTGAATATATAATTAAATAAATATTTAAGGAAATGTCAATACTTAAAATATTTGAAATAAATAAATAAAACATGATAAACCAGTACTTAATATTTAAGTAAGAAATACATTACAGATGATGTTAATTGCATCATCATAATTATGGTACAATTTTGGAAACTGTGCTATAATTATTAGTCCTACAATTAATTTAACCATATTCAACTTGAAATAATTTTTATAAAAATTATGTGCAAAAAGCATTCCGTATATTATTTACATCCAGGTTGCAAAATTCACATAATTTGTTTTTCAACAATTTTCTATTAAAATAATATTAGTGTGTGTTTTGGTATTTCATTGAATATTTTTCATTATATAATTTATTGTAATTTTTGATAATGTTGAAAACATTTTTTTAACTAATTAAACAATGTCATAAATCAAAATATGTTAAAATGTCTTTTTTAATGTGATTTTTCCACTAGTCTTCAAATATTGGCATGAAAATTTAAAATATTTTTATCATAATGACAACATTTGGGTTTTTTGACAAAAATTCAATGTTTTTTAAATTAGACAATCAATTCATTTTTTTAATATATTTTAGCCATAAAAAATGCAAATAACTATAATAATATTCTGCTTTGTTTTATGATGGAAAGTTTATTAATTCAGATGTAAGTGAAATAGTTCTGCTTAAGAAATTGACACATTGCTAGTGTTTGAATATTGTATGTGAATTCATTTTTAAATTATGAAAAACTCAAATCAAAGTGATCATCAATTATTTACAGAATATTTTATTAATAATATTTATATTACATAAATGTATCTGTAGAAATATGATTAGGTGCAAATTATAATGCAGACTTTTTCATTTTTTATAATTTCTTTTCAAAATGCAAACCATAATCTTAAAAACTGTTTGTTCAGTACAAGCAATTTATTTTTTTATTAAGAAAAAACAGTGATTCTATATTGAATTTCAATTATCATCAAATCTACTTTAAGAAATCTTAAAACATTTATTGGACTTTTTGAAATAAGTGTTATGTTTTGAAATTTAAAAAACTGATTTTAATTAATTGAAAAATTTATAATTATAACCCAATAAATTAAATTAATACATTGTATCAGGTAACAGTATTATTTTCAATAGCTTTTACATCAAAATATTATTTTGAATTTTCAATTATTTTTATTTATATATAAATAGTTACACTAACAGAATTTTGAGTATTATTTCAAAATAAGATAAAAGTCTATAAAACTTTTTATATTTTTTAACATCTATTAAAAATTACTTACCAATACAAGTGTTTGTATCATTTAATTTTTCTCCTTTTGGACACAGACATAATGGACCAGTTGGGGTCTGCATACATTCACCTGTACATCCAACTTTCTGGTCTTTACATTCATTTAATTCTAAAGTTAAATTACAAGTGTTAAATAAAATAAAATAAAATTTTTTGTACATATCAATTTTTAGAAAAATATGTTTTACAAGATAAGTAAGAAAAAGTTTTATTTTAATATATATTTAATCTATTCTTTAAGTTTTAGTACTGACAATATATTCTTCATTCAGAAATTTAATTTTTATAAACTTAAAAACTGTGATACTATAAAATTTAACACAATAAAATACAAAATAAATAACAGAATTCGATTAAAACTTATTTTTGCAATTAAAAACATAAATGAATGAGAAAACATATAAGTTAAATTTAAAAATCTTTTTGAAAACTATTGTAAATTAATGAATATATTTTAAAGAAGGGTTTCTCAAGCTGAATTCCATGAATCTCAGGTAACCCTGAAGGAATATAAAAAATTCCATGAAACAAAAATATGTAATAGTGGAAAAATTTATTAGCCATCTTAAATTTGCATATAATATTCATCCACTGATAGTATGCAGACAATCAATTGCTGCTTCAACTCCAGAAACTTTTTAAAAGACAAATATTGCTGCTATTTAATTCTATTCTTGATTTATATTTTTATTTGCTAACAAAACACTGTATATATTTTTCAGGTTAATGTTAACAGAAATTATAGCTCAGTTTTAGTGTGGATGGGATACAGACAAATAAAGGTTCCTCAAAGTCATACAAGTCTTTTACAGCTTTGAGGGTCAAAACACAAAACTCACAGAATCCAACAAAAAAATTTAGAAATGATGTTTTAAAGTATGTATTTGTTCTTATTCTCAAAATTCATTTGAAAACAACAAATTTAAATTCTAGATAAATAAATTTGTTGTACATATTAAAAAATACTATAAAATAATTATTTTGTACAAAATTTGAACCAATGATATTTAAATCAAATAATATCATTAATATAAAAATAAATATCAGATAGGAAAATTACATATTCACTTACCACAAAGTGGACCTTCATCAGANATTACTTTGGCTTTATTCCGTTTATATTAGACTTTAATGACCGAACAAAAACGATTTAAAGCAATTGAGCAAAACTAAGTGCATATAATTTTTAATCACTGCTCTATCTGCTTTAAAAATCTCATCAAAAAATTAACTTAAAACTTCAGAGTATAAATTTATGGGGCTGATTTTGTTTTATAAAGTCAAATGTTTGTCAATTTAAGTGGAAAATATTCGAATTTATTATGTTTAAAAATTGTTAAATCCAATTTGTCTCGCTTTCTGTACGAATAACGACCCTTTTATGTAAAGTCTGATCTCGAAAAACACCTTTACACCTTGCCTATAGGTCCTATCCAATGTTTTCTTACATTCGATACGCATAACGCCCTTCTTGCGTAAGTATTATTTGAGAAATGCATTGCATTTGAAACGGTCTAACGCAAGCAAAAATATCATTTAAAATAAAGACAAAGATAATTTTGATTAAAAAAAAAATAAAAATAATTAATAAAAGCGGGTTAAAACTCTTATTTTAACATTATGTATATTAGAAAAATTTTTCTTTCCATTTAAATTATCGAATTCGTATTGGAACCATCTGCATAAAGTATAGGAAAAAGTTTAAATCAGATTTCCAAGTTTAAAATACACTGGATAGTTTCAGCAAAAATAAATTTTCCAGAAGAGAAAATAATTAAAGGACGTCGCATATCGATACGCTTTTCATTATTTTTTATTTTAAAATTATTATTTAAACTTCATCGATTAAACATTCTTATATCGATTCGCAGCTAGTCTAAGGTTCAGCCTCAATTCCGATACAGTTTCATGGCTGACTTTTACGTCAATAAAACAAGAATTGGTCGATAAGAAACGAAGAGAAAAACTCACCAGCAATAGAAGAAACAATGTTATGTCAACGACAGATCGGGCTTTCATGTCTTTTCTCTAAATATAGGCGATGGTAGTGAGAACCGGCAACCCCAGTGTCACAACTGTCGCACGTACAGAATGTGGATCTGTATATAACCGAGCAGATTGAGTCATCTTATAGGTTTTGTACGTGGGAGGTGACACTTATCCTTGTACATCATCAAATACCGTCGAAATATCGCGCGTAACTCCGGCTTAGAAAACCGGCCATCTAAAGCATCGGTATGTGTAGCACCTCTTCTAGCCAAACATAGAATGAAAACGAACGGTTGGTGGAGCCATCGTCGCAAACTGCAGCGCCATCGGCGGAAAAAACCTTGAAACTTTTCGGCTGATCGTGTTTAATTGCGCTTCATATTCGTTAATAACTCGATTTTTATGCCAAACGCACTTGAGCCAAACCCTAAAACACGCATTCTCAAACCGCGCGGTAATCCCTAGAAAACGATTACCATCCCTTCCGGATGATCTCACTTTTTTTCTTGACCACAATTGATCAGTTTTAAATTTCATTCGAGCGCAGACAATCGAACAACTCTGTGTTTCATTTTTTATTCGTATACAATTATGAAATAGATAAATCCACAATACTTTAATTAAATAATTACGTATAAATAAAAAATACGTTAAATAATACATCCATTTAATTAAACAAACAATCAAATAATTTTTAAAGGGATCATAAAGATAAATCTAAAACACAGAACTAAAAACTCGATACTTATTTAACTGATGACTCATTTTAAAAGTTAACTCTATGAAATTTATGATAGTTTGAGTGGTTTTAAACGGGAGTCAAGTAACGAGCATTTTCAGTATCGTGTATTTTGACTATTGTAACTATCGAATACCATCTTTTGTTTTTTATTTAAGCCAAAAATAAAATAAAATAAATTTAAAAAACACAGGGTTATCCTTTTTACTCAATTCCTAAATTCCCTGACTTTCCAAACATGTTCTAATAAGTTTTTACTATTTTCGTATCATAAATTGACAAGTAACAAAGCTTTATATTAGATGAAAAATGAATCATTTCATAAAATATAACTCTTGAAAATATACTTTGATATACAGTGGTGCCTCGTATAATGTACTTAATCCGTTACAGGTGCACGTCCATTAAGTGAAAAGTCTGTTACACGAAACGCATTTTCCCATGAAGATACATGTTAAAACATATAATTCGTTCTGCAGCATAAAATAACCATAATGTACCATTAAAGAAAAAAAGAAAAAGAAAGAAAATGGAGCAGTCACCAATTATGCCGGGTAGTCAAATGTTGTGAGAAGGAGGTGGAGGAACACTTTCTTCACACATTCATACAGATACACATTGCAGCAGGTCTCTTTTTATTGTTTTTTAATTGCAGTCAGATTCAGGAGAGGCTACCGGAGCTTGCAGGGTCAACTCTTCTTGTTCCATCCTTTGTTTTTTGGCAACTGACTTCTTGAAAAACATGTCCAAGGTGGTCTGTTTCTCTCTTTTCTTCAACACCTGTCGGAAATGACAGGCAAGGGTGTCATTGTAGAGATCATTGATCCTGTTGGCCTCATCTCTGTTTGGATAATGAGTGTTGGTGAACTCCTGAACCTTTCCCCATTTGACAAGGAAGTTTTTGTCAACTTTCACTCCTTCTGATGATTTCTTGCTTTGTTTCAATTGAAATCATCTTTCTGTTTTTTTTTTTAGAAGCCATGATTTGCGAAACACTTGAATAAATGTAAATACCCTGCACTGAGGTGATGTACGTAATAAACAAGGGAGCAAGCCGAATCCCAATGGGAGCTCTGTACTTCAGATATACTAATAACATATTCTAATAATACTAATATATTATAAAAATAGCAGATTGTCACTGGCAACGACAAAAGAGTGGAAACATCATTCGCACTTGTTCACCACATGTAAATGCCGAATGGAAAGTCCATTGTTCGCAGCCAGTCTGTTGCTCGAGTCACGTAACAGCCAAACAGAAAGTCCATTGTTTGCAGAGTCCATTATACGAAACACCACTGTATTTGAAATGCTATTTTAATTTAATAAAAATCTCTTACTGTTGGCTTGTAGATCTAAGAGACAATTTTTATGATAAAAAATTCATTTCTATACACACACACATACATAGTATATATGGTATGGCAATCTCAGAGAGAGCAAGAGTGATCCAAGTCTGGTTTTTGATGTTATAGCATTAACATGTGGAATTTGTTTAAAAGCAACTGTTATCTAATGCAAAGCAGATTCAAATGGAATTTGTTGTTACATCCAAGGCACAAAGAAAAAACAGAAAAAAGAAAAATATGGAAAATAATATGTAAAATTTTTCAATGATTATCTCAAAATTAGAATTTACTTATATGGATCATTCTTGCTCTGAGGTCATCACATATAATGTGGATTTTGAAAAATATATTTATAATTATTAATAAAACTTCTAAAAAATACTTACGACAACCCAATTCATCTGAATTATCATTACAATCAGGAACACCATCACAATGATAACTTTCATGAATACATTGTTTTAAATTTGCACACTGAAACTGTGAAGATGTGCATACTATTGGAGGGCAATTCTGTTCATCAGCTTGATCAAAACAGTCATTGTCACCATCACAGATCCAACTCTGAGGTATGCAGTGTCCTGATCCAGGACATGTAAATTGATAATATGCACAAGTTTTTTCAGCTACAAATACAAATATTTTTAATAAAATTAAAATTTTAATTAATATAGTAAAATTACAACAATGGAAAAAAAATTAAATTGTTTATAAAAACATAATTCAAAGTTTTTATAATAATTTACAAAAATATGTTGGCTATTATAAATATTTTAAACTGAAGTAATTATTGATGAATGCAAAAATATCAGCAGATGATAATAAATCAAATAAATAAATAAAATGTTATTAATTTAAAAATATATAAAATATTTAAAACATGTCACTATCAATAATAATACAGTTTATCATCTGATTTTTGCCATTCAAATTCAAAATTTTGTGTGATATCTAAAAATATGCATTTTCCAAATATTCTTCACGATAAGTATCATACAAGAATAATGTATTACTTTCATGACAGTAATTCCATTAAAATTATTTAAATTTTTTTATTAAAATAATAACAAATTATTTCATTAGGGAAGCTAAGAAATTATAACATCATAATTATTATATTTAACCTACTTTCATAATTGTATTCTAACTCAATAATTTTGTAATGATAAGAAATATCTTCAATAAATTTTCTAAGCATAAAATTATAATCAATATCATCTATTGTTATATTACATTCAACATCCATATATATTAAAAAATTATATAGTTTGATTAGGAATCTTTACAAGAAAAATATTCAAAAGTTCAAAACATTTTTTTAATATTTCAATATAAAAGAAATATATAATTATGTAAGACTAATACAATTAACTACTTTAAGTAATTATAAATATTGTGACTGCATCTATATGAAAAATATAGAAGTGTAAATACATTTATTGTATGACTGTAAGCATGGCCTTATACATTATCATGTTATAAGTCAATATATTACATAAAAAGACTTGTAACAATGAAAACAAAACATGTACAAACAAACAAAAAACAAACTTAGTAACATTAAAGATTACAAATAAAGTAAAATGAACAGACTATTAACATATATCATTCTTCATACCTTCAACATATTTATATATACCTATTCACTGAATAGGTATATATAAATATGTCTGAATATCTACACACAATTTCTATCTTAGTAGTTTCAAAACCATTAGAAGTAATCATTGTACACTGTAAGTTTGAAATTCAATATATAAAAACTAGAAATTCTCCCATTAAGCATAATGGAATACATTTTATGAGAAAGTAGAGCTTGAAGAATTGAGAAGAGTAGAAATTTCAAGAAATTCAAGAAGAGTTGTTAATATTTCTACAAATTAAGTAGTTTATACTATCTGTTGTAACATAAAGAGCAACAAAACAAAATTTCACCTGGAGTGGACAAAAACAGTAGGAGTTATAAAGAATTCACTTACACACAGACAAATAGATTTAGGCCTTTAAAATAATATTAAAATCTTTCTTTAAAAAATTTCTTTAAACACTACATTCTGAGTAAACACTGTATTGTCTTTTAAAAGATTTCCTTGCTAGACACCTTAATATTGTTTTGGTGACTGATGTTATGATGCTGTTTCTGCAGCCCTTGACAAAGCCATTTCTAAATTCCATGTTGATAGAACAAAGATAAATTTTATGTATGTTAGTTAAGTGAGCGATAACATTTTCTAAATAACAGCTTGTTAGATCATTACTTTCAATTGGATAATAGAGTGTCATGTGGTCACTATGAAAAGATATATTTTTTAAATTGTTATAGAAGTGACAGAAGTAACTTTAAAAATGATAAAAATATATCATTTTTAAAGTTAAAATTTTAAAATTAATGAAGTATGTTTAAAATATATCATTTGCCAACACATTTAAAAATGCAACTTAAGGGAAATTCCCTCATCAAGCACAAATGTCATGAGGTCACTGACATTACTGCAATGTAAGTGTGAATCCACCAATCTGAAATTGATAAAACATTTATTGTACAGCTATTATTAATGCAAAATACATGGCCTATACTTCTGTCAGAACATTAAACTAAAATAACTAAACTTTTATCTGAATTGGATAAAAATTGCAGGAGTTATAAGGAATTCACACACACACAGATGACAGCTTTTATATTAGTAATGTAATCACAACAATTTTTAAAACTTAAATTTTTTATTTTTGTAAATTAAAAATGTTTTGTATGATACTTACTGCAGAAATCACCTTCATCAGAACCATCACCACAATCATTTTCTGAATCACATTTCCAAGATTTTGGAATACAACGTCCATTATCACAACTAAATTCTGAAGCTTCACATGTAACATTAACTACAATGAAAGTATGTAATTAGTGTAATATATCTTGTTAAATCAATTTTAAAATTATTAAATAAATATATATAAATACTTTAAACACTTCTTTTATAAAATTTTATAAATTTAAAAATTTCTTACCACACCCTGTCTCATCAGAATAGTCTCCACAGTCATTGTCAGAATCACATTTAAAATTCTGAGGAACACAACGACCACTACCGCATTGAAATTCTCTTGGACCACAAGTTGTTTCTATAAAATAAAACATAGTAATAACTTTTCAAGAGAACATCATTGATGCAAACATTATATTATTGTTCTAAATATACTAATTAAAGAATATTTAAATTTTAAAAATCTTTACCCACAACTATGTATTAAACAAAACTTACACATGCATGTACAAAAGAATAAGAAAATGAATGATTATAAAGTATCATCTAAATAAATATTTCTTATAAACATATATTAAATGCAAAAGTATAATATCAAGTAAATACTGTATTTCTGCACAAATAAGAGCACTTATGTGAAAATTTTAAGTGAAAATATTGTTATAAGTAAAGCAAGTTTGAAATACAGTCCTGCTTCACTTATAAAAGCATATCTTGCATATAAGAGCATAAATTTATGTGTACAAGCTTGTTTTGGCTTATAAGAGCATTGCACTGTTAAGTTAATTAAATATAGGGGACAGATAAAGTAACTATTCAGTGACATCTCTGTGGTAACCATTATAAAAAATAAAAAATGCCTCCAATACTATGAAAGATTTTTTATGTTATTTATGGAATATTAATATAAAGCCAATTTTGCCTCATCTATAAGAATGCTTTTACATGTGCAGAAATATAGTATATTGAGAAAATTCAGTTTTCAAACATTTTCTCCATATATTTTATTGTTAGTTGATATATCTAAAATATTTCAAACTTTTATTCTTTTTCTTTTCAATTTACTTTTCAGTATAGCTCAGAAAGCATCCTACATCTTATATATTTTAGAAATATCTTTTTAGTATATAAAATAAAATAATAAAAGTTTTAAACACAGATATCCCACATTAGCATAGCAGAATTATAAGATAACTAGCATATGAGCCTGACATTACTCAAATAAAAAATAACAACAAAGATTAAGATTATTAGATTATTTCATATTTCTAATCCTTCTGTTATATTAAAGTATTTGATTTATATTTACAAAGGTTATCTTACATAAGGGTAAATGTGTTAGACTGGTGACCAATCTAAGACACATTTTAAAAATTCTTTAAATTGGTACAGTAAAGGAATAAAGTATTTTTAAAAGGTGTTAGATTGGTCACTTGGTGTGATAAACCCTTATGTACTAAAACACTAAAATGAAACAATTACAATCAAAGAAATAAACAAAAAGTTTATTCATTTGATTGTAATTGTAATCCAAGAAAAACATATATAGGTGAAATTACACAAAAATTAAAAATATGCATAAAACGATAAAAGGAAATTATGCAAATTCTGCAGTGGTGGAACATTGCAATAGTAAAATGGATGTGAAATAAATTTAAACACAATTAAAATTAAGAAAAAGAAAGCAACAATTTTAAACGTCAGTTATTTGAACATATCTACATAAAAAGACAAAACAATAGAATCAATAATAACCTAAGATGGGAAGGAAATCCATCAATCATGGTAGAGCATAATCAATGACGACAGCAATAGGCAAAGAGATATAAAAAGAAGGAAGTGATAGGTGATGAGTAATTTATTAGTTAAAGTGAAAAAGATGGTTATGTAAGTTAATTTTATTTTTGTGAATAATTTTGTAATTTGAAAATTTTAAAAGAACTTTTTGAAATTTTTAATACAGAAATATATATCAATATTTAAGCAATGTTAAAATGGTGATTCTTCTAAATGTGTTTTGTGCATATTTTGATGTAATTGGCTACAAAAAATCTGTAAGTTTTACTATATCGTTGTCAGGTTTTTAGATTATTGTAATATAAATTTTTTAATTGTTATATACATTATTTTAGAACATCGTTGTGGTAAACCTACTGAAAAGGGACGAATATCATGTGTATTATGTGTACAGGGAAAACAACAGGTGAAAAATAATAATTTTTTGTTTTTCTGATTAAGAACTTCTCCTTTGCAAATAACCAGTACATCAGTATAATTGTCTTAATAATATAATAAGTCCCAGTTGACAATAATAGAATAAAGTAAGATAGAAAGACATAAAGGCAATTTAATAAACATATAAACTATTTAATACATATATAAGTGAGGATGTTTGTTTGTTTCCTATACAAACAAACAAACATCCTCATCTATATATGTAAAAATTAAAAACATAATTAGAATACAATATTTATGAAAATAATATGACAGTATAATACTTACGAGTACAATTTTTCATTTCATCAGAATTATCAAGACAATCATCATCACCATCACAGACCCAAGTTTTAGGAATGCATCTTTGATTATCACAGGTAAAATCCCATGCATTTGGACAACTTTGAACTGGTGGTTCAGCATTAGGATCAGCAATACAGGTTTTGCTATCATTAGCTAATTTTTCTCCATAAGGACATCCACATTGCACTCTCAAATCTGGACCCTGAGTACTATTTGTTGGTATTGAGAAACAGAATTTCTGACAATTTCCGTTATTAGATTGGCAGGGATGACGACCTATTAAAAAAAAAATGTGTACAATTAACAAGTATTGTTAATAATTCACTTGGAAAATAAACAGAATTTAAAAATATGTTTATGAAACTTTTCTAGGCTCTAAACATATTACATTCTGTGACGATTAAAACCAAACTGTTGTAGTTATGAAAAATAAAAAGATATCTTTATAACGTTTTCATTTTTCATTAATATTAATGATTAATATTATATCTTAATATATAATATTAAACTCAATTTAATAGCAAAACATCTTAATGAAAATTATTTGAACATCTTTAATATATTTACTGTCAATTTTTTGATTATCTCGACTATAAACTTTAATGCCATATAAACGACTTCCTTCTTCAACTGAGGCAACGATTTTTTCATGTTCTCCAGTTTCTTTATTCATGCGAAGAATAGCATCTAGTCTCCAATCAGTCACAAAAAGCCATTCTATAAAAAAATAAAATATATAATATAAAATACTATATTATATAAAATATATAATCAAATAATTTTTAATATCAATGAAAAAGCTCTTCATACATTCAAATATTAAATTTTACTATTATAACTCAAGCTGAAAAAAAAACCATAAAAAAAAATGCCACAAAATAAGTTTTATAAAGGTTTTTTTTTATACAAAAATTCATTAAGCTATAGAAATTCAAAAATTCTAAAACTTAAATATAACATATATGTCATTCTATATAAAGAATCCATTGATGAATACAACAGCTTATTGAATATTAGAAAAGAAACAAAGTCCCTATCTTTGAGAAAAAATATAAATTATCCTCAGCCAATATGCAAAAACAACATAATTAATTATTGAAAGAGTAAACTGATAGAATATTGCAAATGTCAACTTCCTAAGTGAATTAATAAAAATTCAATTATATCTTCAATTAATCTTTCTCAGAATCTTTATAAATTAATTGAAAAATAAAAGTGTGCTTTTTTAACATAGAAAGTAAATAAATAAATACATTTACATTTTAATGCATGTATAATTTCACTAAGTTCAGCATTAATAAAGTTCCTCGCTTGGATGAAAATTCACTGAGTTCAGCTAAATGCTGAACTCAGTGAATTTTCATCCAAAAACTACACAAAGCTTGGCATGAGGTTTTTGAATCTACTTTTTACTATGCATAATTTATTTATTTATTACAGGTATTTAAAAAAAATAAATTACAATAATCTCATGCAAGTAAATTATTTTGAAAACTTTTAAACAAATTCATAAAAATTTATTTACCTCCAAAAATTACTAATGAAAATGGATGTTTTATTCTTGGTGAATTAATAGTTCTTACATCTGTACCATCAAGATTGGCATGTTGTATATGATCTAGAAGTGCATCACACCAATACAATCTATCTCGACTGAAATCAATACTTAATCCATTGGGCCATCCAAGCAAAACACCTCTAAAAACCATTACATTGCTTCCATCTAAATGTGCTCTGCTAATATTTGCAGGTCGATCCCACTCGGAGAAAAATACATATCTAAAAAAATTTAATTTTAAACATAAGACATAAATGAAATATTAGATATTGATTTTTCCTAATACATTTAGAACAATTAAATTTCTTCTAATTGTAAATATACAAAATATTAAACAATTAATAATATTAAATAATATCCAATAAACAGAAACATTTATTTCTTTATATATTTATATATTATTCAAAACTTACAATTAATTAAAAAGCTATTTTAATAATGGTTTCTCTCTTAACTACAAATAAATCTTGGAATAACAATGTACATAAAATGCATTATATCAATTTTTGTAAAGTATAAATTGTGGATTGATTTAATGTATAAAGTAGTACTTTAATTTATACATTTATGTACTGATATGAGTTTGATAACTAAATTAAAAGATTTTTTAATAGAATGGAGTTGTTCAAATTATTTCATTCTGAAATTGAATATAATATTTTTAGATGTATTTACTAATTATATATCCTCACATAAAATTTTAAAAAATAATGCCCCATATATAATCAACTTATCCATCTATCTCAATTACTTCTTATTACTATGCAAAAATGTGCATATCTGATATTCTTTATAGATATAAATTGTAAGTTATATATGTGTAGAAGAGTTTTAACATATATAGTTAATAAAATAATAATAAATACCCTTTATTTGGATGAACAACAATTGCTCTTGGACGTTTTAAATTTTTTAATAATGTACGGCGATATTGGAAATTCATTACACTGATGACATTTAATGTTCCTTTACGGCTGTCAATATAATAAAGATTATTGGAAACCCAATCAAGAGCTAAACCTTCAACTCCTTCATTCTGTGATGCCAGAACATTTTCCTTCCCTAAAAGTAAAAATATAATTTATTTTTAAGATTGTGTAGTATACCTAGATTAATACATATATATATGTTTGAGTGAAGCATTCTATTATTTTACATATATAAATAAAATAATACTTCACTCTAAAAAATAATTATGTACGATTGATGAGCTTAATGTCTAATCAAAACACTGGAGATGATGTTTAAAATATGTGTTTTAGTAATAAAAATATATTTTTATTACTAAAACACATAAAAATAGTAAAATCAATATTCATAAGAATTCCATCACTTAAATTAATATATTATATTATTAAATCAATTAAGTATAAAATTTTATATTTACTTGTTGAAATTGTACAGAGTTATAGTGGCACCCTGTTAATCTGGCTCAAATTGAACTGGGACCAGTCTGGATGACCAAAAATCCAGATAATCCAGAAAATTTGTTAACAACATAAATAACAGTCTAGATATACATTATATTTTATTTATTGCACATTATATATACTTTTATGCCAATATTAACAGTATAAAGCAAAAGACATCTACACACAGTATCAGTTCATTGTTTTTTATCAGCTCACACAGTATATATGTACATAAGTTTCCTGAACGTTTGTGGGGGTAAACTTCTCTCTGAGTCTTTTCTTCAAGGTCAACCAATAATTAGGCTTAGCGCTCTGTAGGGAAACCAATGGACTAATCTAAACCAAAGTAACTGTGATATACTGTACTATACTTATTTTTGTTACCAGATCCTCGGTTATAGAGTTGCAGGTGTTCAAAATTGGCACTGATCCAAGAGAAAACAGTATTCTTACAGTTCCAACATTATACTCAGGCAAGAATATACAGTTATACCCCAAACTTACGCGATAGGTGGGACCAAGCAATAACCGTGTAAGTCAAATTCGCGTAAGTCAGGATATAATTTCGCAATTTGTGTAAAATCCAAGTCAGATGTATGTAAGCTAACGAATGTTCTTGTTAATCTTATCTCGTCTTTTGATTTGTTTACAGTTACAAGAAATCACCACATAGAATCTCTCGAGCCTCCGTAGATATAACAAATATAGAAATAAATAACACAAAATAAATTGTAGCTATGTGTCGATTCCGCGCGACACGTCCGAACATGTAAGCTGAACAATAGTGTGGGGGGAGTGAGTAATCGAGAGTTGTGTGGCACTCAAACAAAAGACGAATCGACGAGATTTGAAAATCGCGTAACTCCGGGTTCGCATAAGAAGGGGTAGCATAAGTCGAGGTATTACCATACCACTTACAAATAAGTTCTTTAATTTATTTTTGTATATAGATATTGTAAAGTCTTTGTAAATCCGCACTTAAAATGTAAATTTTAATATTGGCGGTAGACTATCACACAGCTTTAGCCAATGATTTCACTTTTGTATATAGGTTTTTCCATATGTATGTCTTTCTTATTCTGGATAAACCAAAGATCCAGATTAACAGGATCCAAATAAACAGGGTTCTGCTGTATTTCTTTACTTGTATAGTATGTCTATAAATCAATATCCAATTGCTTACTAAAGTAACAGTGTACTTCATAGTTATCAGTATTTTAACTGTATTATTAATTTAAAAAATCTAGCTTATGATGTTAGACAAATAATAAATATTTTAAAATCTTAATACAAAAAGGTGAACATGATTATTGCCTTATCAACACAAAAATCATATTTTGAGAAACACAAACTTTTCAGTTTTTTTACTGTAATTTCATTTGTTTCATACAAAATAATTGTGCATTTACAAAAATAATATTTGTTTAAAATAAAAATTAGCAAACTTACATTTTTAATTCTTTATGGTATAAAATTAAAAAATAATAATAATAAACTTTGCTGATGATTATTTTCCAGCAAAATGTTTCTATATAAATAGTTCTTTTTTTAAATTAAATTTTGTTAAAATTAAATACACACCTGTCCCATCTGTTTTTATCCTATATATAACATCAAGAATAACATCTGAATAATAAATATAATTCCTTCTAGCATCAAAATCCAAACCAACAAATCTGGCCGATTTGCTCACAATTGGCACCATAGCATCTGTGCATCTTGTTGTTTTGAAATTCATCAAAGTACCTCGTACAAGTTTCTGTTGTGCATATAATAGAAACTGTTCAACTCCTATATAAAAAAAAATCAAAATTAAAATTTTACATTACTTTTCAAAATTATACAACTGTTTACTTTCAAAATTTATTTTTTGCATTAGAATTAGTAATTTGAATATGTATTAAAAACATATAATTCTTGTTTTAATTACAAACTAATAACTTACTTTTGCATGCTTGTTCATTTGGAGCAAGTTCATAGCCTATATTACAGACACAACTATAAGCAATACCAAATCCATCAGATGCTCTAGTTACAACACACATATGCTGGCAACCACCATTATTAACTCCACATGGATTAGTTACTATAATTTACAAATAAATAATTTATCAAAATTTAGAATTTTTAAACTTATATAAACAATTAATTTACCTCTAGGCTGATGAAGTGCATGATAGGGAAATATTGACTTAGGTTCTTTCATTTTACTTCTGTCACGATAAATAACTTTAGCTACATCTGAATTATTGTAAAGGTCTGTTTTTAATACACCCTGTCTTGTGCCATCAGTCCAATATACTTTATCTTCAAACAGAGTTATTTTGCTGGGAGAGGGAACACGTGTACTTCCTCTAATAATAGTCTGCCTAATAGATAAAAAATAATTTTAAAAATTTTATTCCAATATAATAATATATAATATTTTAACAATAAATTATGAATAATTCTGTTTATAATATAAAATTTTGTTAAATAAATAAATAAAAACAAACAAACAAACAAGAACTTATACTGGAATGAATAAATAATATAAATAAAATAAACCTTTAACTATCCAGCAAAAAAATGTTTAATAAATGTTAAAAAATGTTTTTTTTTTTTTTTTGGCTGCTTTATTATTTTTATGTTATTTGCAAGTTATTTATAGATTTTCAGAAGACACAAGTCCGATGAATTACTCATGCGCATTTCGGTTTCTGTTTAATTTGTATTTCCTGCGCTTTTTTTTTTAGTGTTCTTTTTTAATATTGTTTCAACTAAAGATTTAAAAATGATTGAAAACGTTTTTATTAAACATTTTTATTGCAGGATAGTTAAAGGTTTATTTTATTTATAAAATTTTGTTAAAAATAGATGTAAAACTTGCAATATTTTTTCAGTAAATAAATTATAATTCAAATCATAAATTTACAGATATTTTGTTTTATTACTTTGTATCCTTATTCTGGCTAAATGATTTGTATTATCAGTTTACAAATTTTTTAAAATTTAATAAGATGAGATTTAAAAATTTTTAAATTAACATACAGGTTTTCAATAAAATAAAATATAGGAATGATTACATTCTTAAAAGAATGTACCGTTCCTATATTTTCTTTATTAGTAATTTTATAATCATAATTATTACAAAAATTATGAACATATTTACTGTATAATATTCATAAAAAATTCCAAGAAATGATGGTATGGATCCAGATATAAAACTTTAAATAAATTATAGAATAATTTAGAGATAAAATTCTTCTTCTATTATTTTTATATAATAAAAGGAAGATTTTTCACTTTTTGAACTTTTATATATATTACTTATAACTTTAATATATATTCTTTATATTTATTACAATTATTTCAGAAAATATAACATTTACACTTATTTCAGAAAATTTAAATTTACATTAACTGCAAATGTAAATTTTTTATGTAATCAAAGCTGTAGTATGAAAAATAATTATTATTAAACTTTCTGCATAAAAAATAATTGCAAATAGAATATAAATTAAATTAAATAATTCAATAAAATCATTATTAATTTTTATCTTATGTTTATATATGTAGCAGGATTTATTATGTTCATTACTATAGGTAAAAAAAATATTATAAAATTGTTGAGCTATTCATTAAAAAAACCAATATTTTCAATACATTACAATAATAATACTGATTTAACTCTGAAGAATGACAATTTTCTATCAAATTTATTACAGATTACAGCAAATTTCAAATTATTTTTGAAAATATGTGAGTTCTGTATTTATTAGCTTCTCTAACTCAAATGTTAGAGAAATTTAATTATATTAAATAAACCATTAAAAAAGTAATTTATACTGCTTTAAAGAACTGAATCCATTATAATTACATGAAAATTTTAGTTAAAAATAGTAATACTTTAAACCAGATTGTTCAATAAGTTATGTCATTTGATAAGAGATGGCGCTATTAGGATTGTCACTTTATTTCTCTATAAACAGTACTACTATTTCATAAACATCTGTCAACTCATCTGTATATTTGCAGCTGTTCAAAGTCGATGTGTCACTGTATTTTTTTACAATGGAAAAAATTGAATATCGTGCAGTGATAAAATTCTTATTTTTGGAAGGTGTAGTACCAAAACAAATTCATGAACAATTGTTAAAAGTGTATAAGGACTCTTCCCCTTCAATTAGAACAGCAGAAAGATGGGTTGATGAATTTAAATGTGGTAGTATGAGTCTTGAAGATGATCCACGTGAAGAATGTCCAAAAAGTGCATCAACACCAGAAATCGTAGCAAAAATACAGCATATGGTTTTGGAAGATCGTCGATTAACCGAGAGAGATTTAGTAAAAGCCCTAGGGATCTCGTTAGGCAGTGTGAGCAATATTTTGGCTGAAGTTTTGGGTTACAGAAAGCTGTGTGCACAATGGGTGCCACATTCACTAACTATGGAACAAAAACACATTCGAATGCAACTTTCTCAGCAACATTTGGGGCATTTTAGAAAGGATAAAAAGGATTTTGTGTGTCGTTTCATCACTATGGATGAGACTTGGGTCTACTACCATGATCCTGAATCAAAACAAGAGGCTAAGAAGTGGTGTGAACCTGGTACTTTGACTCCAAAGTGAGTTAAGGTCCAGAAATCGGCCAAGAAGGTGTTAGCATCAGTTTTTTGGATGCAAAAGGAATTTTGTTTGTGGATTACCTTCAAACTGGTAAAACAATAAACTCAGATTATTATTGTAACCTTTTGGACCTGCTGGATGTAAAAATTTGTGAGAAAAGACCTGGTTTAAAGAAGAAAAAAAAATCATTTTTCATAAAGACAACGCACCCTCTCACACAGCTCAAAAACCCTCGCAGAAATCAGTAAATTAAAATAAGAATTGTTGCAGCATCCTCACTATTCGCCAGATTTAGCTCCCTCTGACTTCTGGCTGTTCTCACATCTCAAAAAATTCATGCATGGGAAATGATTATCATCAAACGAAGAGGTAACAGCAGCCATGGAAGCGCATTTCGAGAGTCTTCTGGATTCTGACTTTAGGGATGGAATCCATAAATTAGAAGATCACTGGAACAAGTGTATTGAAGTTCAGGAGGATTATATTGAATAATAAAATGTATTTCAAACCATAAAATCATGTTTTTTTTATTGAAAAACAAAACTTATTGAACAACCTGGTATATATCAATATAAAATCTGTATGAAAGCAAATTTACTTTATCTTTTCAAATATTACAATGTGAGTGTTATGCATACATAATTATTGTTTAAATGAACAGAGACCTCTTATTCTGCTTCTAATGATATGAATTTATTACATGGTACAAAATAAATTTCTACACTTTTGTCACAAAACATTTTGTTAAATACAAACACATGATACAAATAATAAACTTTATCCACAAGATAGATATATTATTTGCATTTGTTAAGAAAAATTGATTTTTTATAATTTTATATATAAAGTATTTAAACATTATATTCAAAATTTTTTTTTTAATTTATAGTTTTCATTTTGCAAAAGCAAACTTGTGTTCCAGAAAATATTAACACTGTCTGTCAGTGTTATTATTATTAATAATAATGCCGACAGACAATGTTAATATTTTCTTAAACTATTTGGATTTGCATGAAGCAATTTTGAAAATTGTGTTCCATTAGACAAATATTTAATCAAAAGAAAATGAAATAATTTTGTAAGAAACAAGAATTTGCTTTTATTATTTCATCAAATATCCATTATTGCTAGCATTAAATTCATAATTTTGTTTTTTGTTAAATATTTTGTTCTATTTATCAAATTTTAAAATAAAATTTATTCATCAACCTATAACTGTAAAACTTTGTAGATTTTATAAATAATTATCACAAAATTACATAATTAATCTAACCAAATACTAAATCATTACAAAAATTTATATTGTAATATCATTAACTTTTTAAATTAATATGTTGAAAATATAAAATATTTTTATAAAATCTTAGCTTTAACATTAATTAAATTGTAATAAAATAACAAACTTTCCAGAATCTTACCTATTTTTACCCTCATAATTTACAGTGGCTATTTGGTCTAATTGTGCATCACACCATATTATTCTTTTTGTAATATAGTCCACAGCTAATCCTGAAGCTTTATATATAAAAGTATCTACAATTGTAATCCTTTGTGTACCATCCATATGTGCACGATCAATATTATCACCATCACTGAAGAACATGTATCTAAAAATGAAAAAGTTTACTCTATTACAACCAGAAATAATCATTTAATAATATATTCATTTATTTAATTTAAATTACATATTTTTAGGAGAAAAATCTTGAGTAATAGCTTAAAACATAGCAAATATAATGTATTCCAAAAACATTTAGATTATATTTAGAAAAGAAACAGCCTTATAACAATCATTTAGTTTCACTGAATCTTTACGTTTAATTAATATTATAACATTTTTTTTTTATCAAATTGTTATTCCTAATAAAATCTTCAATGAAATAATCATATGCATGCTTTCATTAATCAAATTATACTTCATACTTGTAAAATTAATTTCTATATTCTGAACTGATATAAATATATCATATATAAAACATAAAAAAATAAAACGATCATACAAACTATTGACCATTACAAAGAAGAATACTGAAATGTGCCTGAAACTATCCAAATTTTATATACAAATAAAAACCGACTATACTAATAAAAATTTTTTAAAAAGTTACATATAAAAGCGGTAAAATTATAGTAAAATCTTAAGTTAAGTCAAGAAAAATTTTCAATAAAATCTCAAAGGATTTTAAACAAAGTAAGAACTACTTTATAAAAACAATATTGTATTAAATAAGATAATATCAATAACAAGCATGAAGATAAATCAGGAATAGAGAAGATATAACAGCAGCTTACCAATTGCTGTAATAAAGGAATAAAGGTATTAAATATTTGAAAAATTATGCAAACAATTTATCTAATATGCTTACTTATTATTAATTATTATTATTTTATTTAATAATTAAATCATTTATCTTTTCTCAAGTTAAATCACATTTATAATTTTAAATTGATATTTCTAATATGCAAATTATACCCAAACTACAAAACCAACTTAAAAACAAATCTATCTGAAAATATAAAACAAAAACTAAACAGAAAAGTATTCTATCTCTTGAGAATTATGTTTTTAAAAAATTTTCCAAATTCTCTAATTATCTACATTAGCAAGGCATAGTTTTTTCTATCTTCTTTTTAATATAAGATATAATTAAAATGTCCATCTTAAGTAACTTTTCAACAGATATTATAAAGTGTACAATTTTAGTCCAATTGGAAAACCATGCTATTTTATGACTGACTTAATTTCTCAGTTCTGATGATGATGATAATGATTATTGACTTTTTACGAAATCATGTCTTCTTTTAACTATTCTTTACTTCACAACTGGGTGCATAGGTAGATACCTACTGGGCAACTTTAACATCACTCTTTATTCAGGAATATCTTACACACCAATATGCATTTCGGGTGTATGACCCTCTTCTGTCGGCTAAATAATAGAATATGAACACGAGTTTTCCATAGTACAAAATTTTTATGTAATGGTAAATTACAACATATCTTTTTTCTTTAAGACATTTAGTAGAAGTGCTAACTAATACACATCCTTCTTTTTAAAAATACATATATTTGCAGTTAAAATTGTAAAGTGTGTAAGATATTCCTAAATAAAGAGTAATGTCAAAGATGCCTGTGTCTACCTAGTTGTGAAGTAAAGAATAATAATAATGATGATATTATTATTTTCATAAAAGTATAAAAATGTATAAGTGAAGAGAAAAACAGATGTAAGACATATTACAATATCTATTTTTTTTTTTTTTTTTCATTTTTAACTTTTCCTGCCTTATACATACTAAGTGATCTTTCTTTCCATACCCGTAATGCAGTTAGCTGATTAGGAATGAGGCTTAACATATCTGGAACTGACCATACAAAAGTTTATGGGGAAGTTAGTTACTCACTTAGAGTTCATCCCAGATCCCCAGAATGGCATGAATTGCCTCAGCTGTCTGTCCAGCCATTGACATATTATAATACTTTTTATATCCATCATGATACAAATTAAAAATATATATTAATATTTAAAAGTTAATAATTTTCATGTTTATTTATTAATATTTTAAAATAATGTTAAGAAATTATTTGAAATATACTGTAAGATATATGAATATGTAATAATCAATTCTTAACTGTTATAAACTAGAATGATAAACAACAAACATTTTACATAAGAAACATAAAAATTTGAAATATGAAATGCCACATATTTCAAATTTTTATTTTCATAATATTTGGTAAATCTGTACAAGTTAGCTCATCTATACCTATATCTATTTGAAGATATAGATTTGAAGGCCAAAAAAATTCTTAATATTTATTTAACTGTATGAAATTTTCTTCACAACTTTTCTATAAAATTAAATTACATTAAAATAATTTTTAAAACATACAGTATTTAGCAAATTTAAGTTATAAATGACTAAAAATAATTAAAGATATCTTCAATCATGCAGTAAATTTTTGACACAAATTGAATATTTCTATTGAATAACTTAGGTCCTTGCCCTTCAGTGATTTTACATAATTATTTTCATGTCTTACCCTTCAGTAGGATCCAAGGCAATATCCATGGGAGAACTTAAATTCCTGCTCAGAAGTATAGCGTGACGACTACCATCAAGTTCCATAATATCAATTTTTTGCCCCAGTGCATCACAAATATATAGTTTATTTCCAACCCAATCTACTGCAATTGCAACAGGACTCCATGGAAATGGGACAGTAATATCACCTGGTATCCTTTGCTGTCTCCAGTTATCCAGGCTTACTGAATATATCTGGAAATGAAATTAAACTATTATCCAGTTGATATACTGTATATATAACATTACATTACTCTTATATTGATATATAAAGCAATTCAATATACATTAAAGTTCAGACATAACAAAACTTTTCTAAAAATATTTTATACACATTTCACAACTTGAATAAAAACTAAAACTGACTACATATTTAATTAGTGTATCATTATAAAATTTATATAAATGAAAGTTATATACAGTCGACCCCCCTATAACACTGTTGATAATTCCGTTTTATATGAATTCCATGTACGAGTCACTTAAATTTTACAAATGTGTATGCCTGGCTGTAAACAGCTCATGTATTTGTAAAATCTACGAAATTATCAACAGAGTTATAGGGAATCGATTGTAAATAATGAAGTATTTATGCAATACTTCATTATTTTATTTTATGTAAAATTATTATTATTNTCAGACGGCAAAAGTACCACCCACAGTCATTCTAAGAAGTGGACTCTGACCCTAGGACTGAACACACAGTATTTTATTTGTTAAATAAAATGTGTAATCTAATTTTGTAAATTTGAGAGTGCTTCAAATATGACATTACAAGTAGGTTTTTTAACATTATCTAGTATAGTAAAATCGTGGAACCAATAAAAATTTGACATTATATTAGGGTTGTCGTTACATCCGATGACATTATAATCAGGTTAAACTGTATGTTGTTTGTGTAAAATAAAAAAATAATTTCAGATGATACAATAGCCACGATTATTTTTTTCTACACATCGACAAAAATTCAACCCGGGCCCACATGCAATGGAGAGAAATTTTGAAATTGGATAAGTTAATTTCATCGAAAATGCATCGCTTAGTAGTGAGTCTCCAAGACATAGTCTTATCCCAAATATGGTTTTGCTTTATAAAAGCTTCATTTGTCTTAATAAAATTCTTTATAAAGCTACATTTGTCTTAATTTCAATAAAAAAAAATCACAAATTTCATATATTTATGTTAATTTAAATTAAAAATTTGGAATAATAATAGTACATCACTCTTTCTTCAGTCATATCTTTTATTACAGCATAAGAATTTTTAATCAATATAAATTATAAAATCTTTTTTCAGTTTTATCCACATTTAATTTTTACAACTTATTTTCAATTTAAAATTTCAAAATTTTTAGTAATAGAAACTACTGTACCTTTACTGTTTAAATGTAATATATTTTTATAATCATAGAATTAATTTATTTTATCAACACAATTATTACAAAAATCATCCATGTCCTCGAATTCAATATTCAACATAATTTTAATTTCTTTTTAGACTTATTAAATACCAAAATTATTATTATAATGTCTGAATCAATATCTGAACAGTATTAAATTAACAATAAAATGCTGCTTTTATTTATTTGCTTAAAAATGTATATAACAATATAAGAATTATATTTAAACAAGTGCTAAAAAATTTAAGTTAAAATTAAAAATTCTAAAATATGAATGAAAAACTAACAAACATAATTGGCTACTTTCTTATTCATAAAATAATAACTTGTTTACAATGGAAATTTTAAAAGCTATCTAGCAAGTATGATTTGGCAGATTCTGCCTTTTGCTCCTGTAACATTAACTCTCTAGAGACAGTTGAACACAACCTTTAACTGTACCAATATGAGCATGAGCAACTTATTTTAGAATAAGAAACTTTGAACTTTACTTGGTCTCATCCACTTTATACACTGTACTAACATAACAACAGCTTCATAAACCACTTTTTGAAGTCCTGGGCTGGGATGAAAAACATTCTTTTAGCCATATATCAAAACAAAAATGAATCTTGATATTCATGATAAATTAAAATTAAGGGAATTAAATTTTAAAGGAAAAGGAGAAAAATAAAATTATTTTAATATTAAAACCATGCAAAAAAAAAGGAAAAAATTAGTAAATTAAATTCTTTATAAGACCAGATAAACAAAAAAGAAAATGTTAGTTAAGGTACAAGGTTCATTCAACACTGAACGAAAGACAATGATAAATTGTATTCGTAAACAATCGTCTTTCTCAGGAACTGATCTGGTCTAATTTCACCTGGTAACAGAGAAAGACCAATCTGAGACCGAGAAAGGGGATTAATAACCAATAAAGTGACGATTTGCAAGACGAAAAGATATTTAAGCCCAGGCCACAAGGATACTTGGTTCATTGCCTTAGCGTCCCACAAGGTGATGTCCTTGGCTGGGATGCTTCTCGCAAGGTTCCACCTTCGTCCTTAGCCGATGTATCCTCAGAAAGTTATAGACCTTCATTGAGAATTCCGATCTGCATTCACCAGACATTGTTTCCTGTTCAACAACTTGTCTTAGAATGCAACATCCGGTCCGGTCAGCAAAGGAAACCATCTTTGTCACCGGACTTTCTTCTTCTTCTCTGAAGACTATTCGCCAAAGTATACAAGAACTTCAACCCTTCATGACTACAGAACTTTTTTGTAAGTAAATTGTCTAATAAATGGGTTGTGTTGTTTGTAAAGAAGGCATCTATCTCTGACTCAACTGCTCCCACATGACGTTGATTGTTACCACTCGGCAGTCCAGATGGCAATGGAGATGGTGACGATATATATCGCATATTATCGTTAATTTCGTTTTTTTAAATTTCTCCCTCCTTGGCCCCTACACTTTATAATTATTTTTACTATTTGGAAAAGGAACTTATTATTTATTTTCTAGTTTTAACGATGTGTATGCATCAACTATAAGCAAATTTCATATATTAATTTGTATATTCTTTGTAAATTCTGATTTGTATTTTGCTTTTTAATGTAATACTTTTATTTGAGAGAGTACTTAATATTATAAATAATTAAAACTTCTTTATAATTACTATAAATATTCTTAAACTGATTAAAGCAATCAGTTTAAGAATATTTGTATCTTGGTGAAAAACTTAAACAGTTTCATATTAAGCTAAAATAAATTACCTTTCTTGTGTCTGAATCAGACCAGAATAAAACATTTCGATCATAATGATAATCTAAACCACTTGCAGCAGTTGTATTTGTAACAATTTCTATTGATAAACCTTCAGCATCTGTTTTGTATATAGCACTATGATGGGCAAAAAATAACCTCATTTCAGAACCTAGAATCAAATTAGTATAAAAATGTGTATTAATATGTTATATCTACAAAAAATTATTATTATTAGATATTTCATGGTCAATTATAAAATTTACATAATATTTATTTATAATCATTTTAAAATAAGTGTAATTCTAAATACATTTATATAGGGTAATTTTATGATCACTAAAAAATTAAATATAATTTATTGTATGTTAATAATGGTGATAAAAAAATAAATTAATGTCAATTGTCTATGTTACTGAAACATATTTCTTTTGTAAAAACTACAGAAATGTTTTAATTTTTCAATTTTAAGTATATAATTTCATTTTCATAATTTTTTGTAACAAAATAAAAACATTTTATCTGAAAAAATAACCATATCTACTTAAAAGATACTTACTGTTAGTGGCACGACAATGACGAGGATACAAAAGTTCATAGCCTTCAATACATGAGCATTGATAACTTCCTTGAGTATTAAGACAAAGTTGATCACAATATCCCCATTCAGCACATTCATCTAAGTCTGTTATGAAATGTAAAATATAATGTAAATAATTGATATATATAAACATTTTAAAGCTTTGAATAATTAGTTATAAATAAACTGAACTAATGAGCATTAGTGATGATTTACCTATACAAAATCTTCCAGTATTTTGATCTACTTTCTTTCCTGATGAACAGTAGCATTCTCCACCTTCCAAGGATGCTCTACAACCATATTCACAACCTAAAGTACTACACAGTCTTGATGCTGAAAATATATTTACATATATTAAGTTTTGAAACTTGTTTAATGAAATATTATATCAACATTATTAAATATAGTCTTTAGTGTTGTTTCACAAAAAAAGAACTAAAGTACATATTACAGTATATTAAACAAAAATAATATAAATATGCATCCCAACATCACTTACCTCAATATAAATTAAATGAAATAACACAGTTATCATTTTATATGTTTTAATAAAGGACAATCAAATATTTTTTTTTTAAATTAAATTGTATTAAATGAAGCTTTTAGCCTTTTCAAATATAAAAATTAAAAATTTAATTTTGAAACCCAACAAAACTCATAGCATTAATGCCTTTTAAATAATAAATAATATAACTATTTTGACTATTTTCCAAATATAAAACAATATTTAATAAAATGTTTCATAAAATATTGAATATGTTTTTTCAAAATTTATATACAAAAATACATTCATATTTATGTACAGTATAACCTTCAAATAGCAGACACCATTGGAGCTGAGAAGTTTGTCTGCTATTCAAAGATACATGCCAATGGCCATATTGTATTTTAACCCAGTCATTATAAAGTGAAGAATATGATGGATTACAAAAACATCAAATTTTCATTAGGAATGTGAAAATACCAAAAAGTATAAGTAGAATATATAATTAAAACAAGAAAAAAAATATAT